CGAAAAACCCAATGTTTTCCTCGGAGAAGATTCAGACAGAATTTCAGGAGAGTATGGCTGTCATGTTTTACAGTCATAAAATGAAGTTCTAAGGACACTACAAAGAAACGTGAGGCAATTACTGCCCTAAGAATCATATGATCACTTGGGGGATTAGACAGTTACTTGAAAAGTTGTTTTTTTTTTTTTAAGATTTTATTTATTTATTTGAGACAGAGAGAATGATAGACAGAGAGCATGAGAGGGAGGAGGGTCAGAGGGAGAAGGAGACTCCCTGCCGAGCAGGGAGCCCGATGCGGGACTCGATCCCGGGACTCCAGGATCATGACCTGAGCCGAAGGCAGTCGCTTAACCAACTCAGCCACCCAGGCACCCTGAAAAGTTTGATAATAATGTAGAAAAGTCACAAGGCAGTGATCAGGTGGCTGCCAAATGGCAGGTCAAGTAGCAGATGCCCAGAGTAACATGAGCTAGATCGGCTTGTCAGGGAAGGGACATTCTAAGGCAACTCTGGCTGCATCAGAAAACAGAGTGGGAACTCCTCAAAGGTCAACGGGATGAGTAAAGAAGCCCGATTTCACACAGTTTATCTTGTTAAATAAGTAAAAGCCCACATGCTTTACCATGCAACAGCACCACCCGGTTCCAGGCGATGAGATTGCTGTCAACGTTCTTGTCTGAGAACAGCAAAGTCGTCATCACGTAGTCAAGGAGCTGCGTGAAGAAAGGTAAAATGCAGTCAAAGGTGCCGTTGCAGTGGAGGTTCCCACCAGATGTGCTGCTGGAGCTTACGCCCGGGGAGTGGGGACAGGCCCTGGGCTGCCCCTCGGAAGCTGCCACCGCGCCACCAGAGATGCCACACGAGGACAGGCTGGCTGTTACAGTGTAAGCGTAAAGGACAAACACGAGGGTCACTTTCACTAAAGATGCCAAGATCGCACAAAGGGACGAGACTGATCACGTGACAAGCGTCTCCGACCTCGGGGACAACGGGGCAGTGGGCAAGCGGCAGCACATGTGCCCGAGACAGCAGCCAGGACTGTGTTCTCGCAGCCTGGGGGGACGTGGGGTGAACCTCCAGAGTCCCCCACAGCATGCAGAAGGGCCCTTCCCCTTGAAGGGTTCAGACGAGCTGGTGCTTGCTCAGGCCTGCCCACCTGCTCTGTCTGACCTTTGGCCCTGCCTCCTCAGTCCCAGTGGGTTCTTAAGAGCACAATCCAATCAAAGTTGTCTTCACAATGGGCACCCTCCCCTTTCTCTCCCGAGACCACTCTGCTGGGGGGCAACCCCGGAGGACAGATATGCAGGACACGGGCTGCTGGTGGGCCTGAGTTCCCAAAGCCTTTTTGAGTCAAAGGGCTCCAAGATGCTGGAGAACAACACAGTACTGATCCCACTTCAAATAACCGGCCTTCTTGGAAAATAGCACAAAAAACTCACATGAGATTTGACTTCCACATCATATACCAGGCTGTCCCAAAGCCCATGGAATTCAGCTGGGAGAGAATAAAACAAAAACCTAATTTTAGGAAAGCAGGCTATTACACTGACCACTGAGGTTTGCTCTGATGCTCTCCACTGCCCCATGAGTGGCCGGCTAAGATTCTCATTATAGGGAAGTTAACTTTTTGAACTTTTTCTCAATATTTGAATTCTTCTTAATATTAAAGATGCTAAGTAACTGCCAGTCACATAACTTTTGACAGATAATTAAATGGAGTACAGAGTCACTTTCGCATCATGTTACTCCACACAATTGTCTTTTGTGGACCTGCACTCTGCCATGAACACGTCCCTGACCCACCACTCTCCCTGCCAGCCAGCACTTGGGCAAGGCAGCAGCAGGTCTAGTCCAGCTGTCAGGACCTCAGACATAAGCCCCAAGGACTGAGCTACCCCCCGACTCCACCTGCTAGAACCATGGCAAAGTCCTCAGAGAAGCAAAGAGAAGGCAGGAGGAAGGAGTCACGCAGGTGAGCAATTGGGCAGGAAAAGAAGAACACCTTCAGATTCTCAATTAGCACCATCTTAGAGGGACCTGCCTGAAGGAACACAGTCTTACAGCGAAGATCTCTACTTTCCTCTTTTATGATATGCTCTCCATTTCACAAGAAATAAGACATGCTGAAAGCGTACAAAACAAATGGATGAATGCAAACTCCTCAGCTAACTGACTTGGAGAGCCCAGGCCACGTGCTGACGTCTGACCTTGTGTCTCAAGTGTGGCCCGCCTGCTGTCACTGTCACGCACCTGCAGGCAGGACCCAGTGACTTGCTGCAGTGATGTTCTCAGTCTCCTCTTCCAGAGTCTCACTGCTGGGGCCTCCCTCGTTCAGCTGGAAGACGTGAAGTGCAATTGTGCAGGCACCCAGATCAATGGGCTGTGGTGAGAAGGGAAACCAAACAAATCCACACAAACGGAAAAATAACTCACTTCCTAATTCTAGTCATCGAAGTTAGATGGTAACATCCAAAAACAAAGATCGAACATGTCAGAAACCAGTTCTTAGATTAGGTAGAAAAGCTACCATGTTCAGGTTTAGTATTAGCTCTTTTTTAAATACTTTCCCCTGCCTTTATTCAAGAAAGGACTTTACTGTTCTTTGTAATCATAAAAGTTACATGCTTGTTGAAAAAATACAAAAAAACACAGAAGGAAGAATGCCAAAGCCCCCCACATCCAACCTCACCCATGTTTTGGTCTATGACGCACCACACATACTTGACTGAACATGGATTCAGCTGCATAGTTTTCTAACTGCGCCTTCCCCTCTCAGTAGAGCTTGGAAACATTTTCTGTCAGTAGATAAGAATCAGCGTGTGCTTTTTCACAACTATACCACATTAGGTGTGGATGTATCATTTCCTTAGCCAACCTCTAATAGATAATTAAGATATTTCAAATCATTAGCCATCATTAACAAAACATATATATAGTTCACGTATCTTTATAAAATCACATAATTGTTAAGACAAATTCCTCTAGGTGAATGTGCCAACTCAAAGATGAGAACGTTAAAATCCGTCCTTTAATCTGTCCTTCCTCAGTAGTGTGGAAAGCTCTTCTGTTTCCTTCAGGCTGGCCAAAATCAAGTAGGATGGATAAAACTGACAAGCCGCAAGGGTCAGTCCCAGCACACGAATGGAGAGGTCCACCTTGCAAGCAAAATTGCCAAGCCAATTCTTCCAAATTGATTCTTTATGAAACGTGAACCACACAGATACAGATGATACGTCTTCCTGAGGCAGACACTTCGGGCTGTTTTTATACCGACAGAAATGCCCCAACGCATCCACCCTTTCACACAAAGGTGGTGGGTGAGACAGTCCACACGATGGACTAGATGAAGACTGTCTAGAAGGAAAGCCCATCTCCTCTCTGCAGCTGTAGTCCCCATGTCTCCTATGGTCCTACACTGGCCTCAAGAACAGGGAACGGGCAGGGGGGTCTCGTCAGCGTAGCCCACCACCCCACTGCGCTGCATCCTGCCTCTGGTTTCCCATCTGTCCCCCTACTGTGCTGTGAGCATCCGGACAGCGGGGTCACATCTACTCCCACCACCTGGCTCTTCACAGAGCTGGTGCCCATCTAACAAACCAAAAGGTAAATCAGGCAGTTTCTGACAACAGACCAGCAAAGAAGCAAGCACATATTCATGATACTTCTTTGTTTTTTTGCTTTCTTAAAAGTAAACACTACCCCCAATGTGGGGCTAGAACTCATGAGCCCAAGATCAAGATCGCACACTCCACAGACTGAGCCAGCCAGGCACCCTCATGACACGGACTCTGTATTCAGGTAAGAATTAATGACTCCTCCTCACAGTGAATTAGGTACCTGTGGGTCTTTCACCTTTAACTCCGTGTCAACAATAGACACGGATTGCACGTTTCTGGTCAGAAAAGGCTCATCGAATTCAGTCCACGTGTAGTCCCCAAACACAATATTATGTCTGTTGAGTAGCTTTCTAACACTCTGCTTTATGTCTTCTTTTTTTGCAGTGCTGGGGAAACAAAGGAGACAGGAAGGAGAGCTCAGCTGAGAGCAACACTGTAACAGTCCGTGTCCGAATCAGACCGCTCCAGGAAGGAGCAGCAGTGGGCTTGCCCGGGGCGCCCCGCTTCTCCCTCAGAGAAGGGGGCAGCAGTAATGGTTCCTGCTATACCAGCTGACCAGAGGTGGGTCAGCACACCCACGGTGCCCGGGACCAGGCTGGCGAAGGTGGGTCAGCACACCCGGGGTGCCCGGGACCAGGCTGGCGAAGGTGGGTCAGCACACCCACGGTGCCCGGCCGGACCCGCACACCCGGCGCTCAGGAAACCGCTGGCGCTACGAGCGAACCAACAAGCCTCCCGGCGCCCGGGACGCGTCGTGGCAGGAGCCCCAGGCGTGTGGTCCACCTGAGCAAACGCGAGGCGCTCGCTGCGGCACGGGCGGCTTCCAGGGCCCCTCCCAGGGCCCCGGCTGGCTCTGCGCCCTCGGCGCCCTCCACGCTGCGACCCTCGGCGCCCCGGGGGCGTCCCTCGGGCGCAGGCAGCTCTGGGCGGTCCGCCCCCGCCGCGCGCAGGCCGCGCCCAGGCCCCCCGTCTCCACGGCCGGCCCCGGGGCGGCCCGCGAGGCTCGCACGGTCCGCGGACGGCGCCCCTTCGGGCCGGCCCGCGCGAGCGCCCCGGGGCTCACCTGCCGCCGCGCTGGTGCACCTCCACGTGCACGGTCGGCGCCTCGGCCACGCAGGGCAGCGCCTGCTTCAGGTCGCCCACGGCCTCGTCCATGGCGCCGCCGCCGCCGCCGCCGGGAGCGGCGGGGACCCGGCCGGAGCGTGGCCGCCGCCGCCTCGCGCCCCGCGCCGCCGCCGCCACCGCCACCGCCGCCGCCGCCGCCGGGCCGCTCCCGGCTCCCGCCCGCCCGCCCGCCCGCGCTCGAAAGTGCCGCGCGCGGCGGCCGCCCCCTGACCCGGAAGCGCTGGGCCCGGCGGGGCGGGCCGACTTCCGGCCGCGGCGCCTGCTTCCGGCGCGGCCCGGCGACCTCCGCGGGGCGAGGCGGGCGGCGAGCCAGGGCCGCGGGGGCGGCGGCCACGCTCCGGCCCGGCCCGCTGCTGCCCTCGGCCCCGCGCCCCGGCCGCGCGCCGCCATGGGCAAGAAGCACAAGAAGCACAAGACCGAGTGGCGCTCGTCCTACGAGGGTGCGGCGGCGGGCGCGCTTTGTGACGCCGGGCGGGCGGGCGGGCGGGCGTTCGCGGCGGGCGGGGGTCCCGGGGAGGGGGCCGGGCTCGCGGGCGGGGGTCCCGGGGAGGGGGCCGGGCTCGCGGGCGGGGGTCCCGGGGAGGGGGCCGGGCTCGCGGGCGGGGGTCCCGGGGAGGGCCCCGGGCTCGCGGGCGGGGGTCCCGGGGAGGGCCCCGGGCTCGCGGGCGGGGGTCCCGGGGAGGGCCCCGGGCTCGCGGGCGGGGGTCCCCGGGAGGGTCCCGGGCTCGCGGGCGGGGGTCCCCGGGAGGGTCCCGGGCTCGCGGGCGGGGGTCCCCGGGAGGGTCCCGGGCTCGCGGGCGGGGGTCCCCGGGAGGGTCCCGGGCTCGCGGGCGGGGGTCCCCGGGAGGGTCCCGGGCTCGCGGGCGGGGGTCCCGGGGAGGGGGCCGGGCTCGCGGGCGGGGGTCCCCGGGAGGGGGCCGGGCTCGCGGGCGGGGGTCCCGGGGAGGGCCCCGGGGAGGGTCCCGGGCTCCCGGGCGGGGGTCCCCGGGGAGGGCCCCGGGCTCGCGGGCGGGGGTCCCCGGGGAGGGCCCCGGGCTCGCGGGCGGGGGTCCCCGGGGAGGGCCCCGGGGAGGGTCCCGGGCTCGCGGGCGGGGTCCCAGGCGCCAGGGTTCTGGGATCACTAGCTGGGGTCCGAGTCGGGAGTCCAGGGCTCCCAGGTACCTGGTTCGTCTCCTGTATCCGAAAGGAAGGAGCCAAGCACCTGCGTTGGCTCTTGTGGTCTTGGAGAACTTGGTAACTGTCTCTCGTGCCGCCTCCTGCCTGGGGGTTCCTGCAGGAGCTGTGAGGCCACACCGGTGGCTGCTGCAGGACAGAGGGGGTGAACACCAGCCAGGAGCTTAGCGGCGGGGCATCAGGCTGCTGGGTCCCATTCCTGCTTTGTTCCTTCCCCCCGACAGTGAGGCAAACTGCTTTCCTCGAGGCCTCCCTGACGATAATGCAGCAGGAAGGGGAAAGAAGACCCAGCTGCGCTGGGGTTTGCCTCACTGACTTCCCTTGATGGTTCTGCAGTCCCCCTGCCTGCTGCCTTAGCATGGCCAATCCCACCCCTCCTGGTCACACCTGCGCGTTGGGCCAGCCCTGCCACGAAGCTGGGTGGTAGCTCCTGCCTGTACACGTCGCAGGCACCCAGTGAAGCCCGCTGTCTCTGTTTACAGATTACACAGACAAGCCCCTGGAGAAGCCCCTGAAGCTGGTCCTCAAGGTTGGAGGAAGCGAAGTGACTGAGCTCTCAGGGTCTGGGCACGACTCCAGTTACTACGATGACAGGTCAGACCACGAGCGCGAGCGACACAAAGAAAAAAAGAAGAAGAAGAAAAAGAAATCGGAGAAGGAGAAGCACCTCGATGATGAAGAAAGAAGGAAAAGGAAGGTAAGACACAGTCGCAGTTGGCATGTGGTGGCCCCAAGCCCTCCGGAGGGCAGGCTGTAAGTGCTGCGGGGCCTCAGGAAAGGGTCGTTCTGTTTGTAGCAAAACACAAATCGGGAAGGTCCTTCGCTTTGTTTCTGGCTCTTTGTGCATCGTTTCTGAGCCAAGCCGTAGGGGTGGTCGTCTAGGGTGGGAATCTGAAGCGAGAAGTGCCTCCACGTGGAGGGGGGTTTTGTCTCTCAGCTTCGTGTTTCCCCTCAGTTACAGGAGATCTGTTTAAAACTGCTTGCCTTGCTCTCGCTGCCCTGACTCTGCCTCACAGGAAGAGAAGAAGCGGAAACGGGAAAAGGAGCATGGCGACACGGAGGGAGAGGCCGACGACTTTGATCCTGGGAAGAAGGTGGATGTGGAGCCGCCCCCTGATAGGCCCATGCGCGCGTGCCGGACACAGCCAGGCGAGTGGAGCGCTGCAGAGGCTTTCTTGGAGCTTCATGGCTCATCTCTGACCTCACGGCTGGTGCTCCCGTCAGCCCCTTGGGAGGAGCACGGGACAGAGGGAATGCTGTTTTCCCAACATGAAGCATAGCTGGGCCTGAGGTCTTACTGTCCCCCTGAGCTTCTAGAGCAGGGCTTGGCCAGCGACTGCTCCTGAGTCCCGCTCCTCGTTAAACTCCTGAGCTCATCGTGGATGGGAGGAAACTAGTACTCGGGTCAGTCACTGAGGCTGTCAGAAACCACGGGGGCTGTGCCTGCCTCACCAAAGGAGAGGCTCCGAAATGCTGGAGAGTCTGTGATCTGTGTGCGGTCACTTCCCACAGGCTTTCACGTAGTCAGGAGGCACTGAGGGACGCGGTCTTAGGCGTTTCTTTTCTGGACTTTGGGTTTGACTGCCTACGATTTGGGAGGGAGGAGGGGGTGTTGTACTGCAGGCATTGTGGGGGGCTGCGTTCCCGCAGTCCCCGTCCCCTGTGCAGGTTAGTGCCATGGTGGACTTGGGGCTGCTAGGCACGGTGGGGCACAGAGAAGGTCAGGCGTGAAGTCTGCGGAGTTTGGACAGTCTCTGGTCACCGTGAGCTTAGTCTGAATAGCTGCTCGCTTGAGGTCACGTGTGCAGTGCTTCCCTCCCGTGTGCCTGAAGAGCTGCCCTTCACACCTGCCCCGGTCTCTGTCTCTATTGAGGACCCACTTGAGGTCTGCACTCCTGTTGTGCTTCAACCCTGGAACCAGCCATCTCCCCAGGGAGCCCTGGTTCCTTTGCGCAGCATGGCATTCAGAAACCGAGGTCTGGGTGCTGGGTGTGGCCCTCAGTGGGTGGCACGAGGATAGATCACATGCGTACTCACAGCTGAGAGAACAAAAGCTGCGCTGGCTTCTGTGTTCACATTCACCAAAATCCACGATTTCACACAGTGGGCCCAGAGACGCAGTTAACGGCAGCTCTCGCAAGAACCCCGGTGCGGTGTGTATTTGTGCCTTTTTCACAGGTGAGGAACAGGGGCATGACCAGAGGTTTAGGCTCCCAAAACAATAATTGGTGAAGCTCCACCTCTGTGTCCAAAGCCTCTGTCCTCTTCTTTGTACTGTATCTGGAATGTACCGGGCCCGGTAGTGCCCTGGATGGTCATAGACTGATGAGGGACAGTTCCCTGTTGTTGTGCTAAGGGTGTTGGCACCCTGAGGGGTTTTTGGGACTGCTGCTGTGATGGAAGTCCTTGCCCACGCAGCTGAGCTTCTTGGGGGCCAGGACTGGTCTGGTTTATCCTGGTTCGCAGTTCCGGTGGGAACCTAAAACGCTGTGAAACATGAAATGGCTAAGTACACACTGGGGAGTTGGAGCTCTCCAAATACCAAAATCTCTCGACTCATCTTTATTTTTTTATTTTTTGACTCATCAGCTGAGAACGAGAGCACACCTATTCAGCAACTGTTAGAGCACTTTCTCCGCCAGCTCCAGAGGTAAACAGATTCTCAAGAGCTTGAGCTTGGAAACATTCGGGGTGTCTTCCCTTGTGAGGTGTTCTTCCCCCAGCTCTACCACCTGTGGAGCAGACCCTTGCCTAGTCTGGTGGGGGGTGGTCAGGCGCGTGCGGGAGCAGCGTGCAGGGAGAGCTCCGTCTGCCGAGTCCTTGCAGGCCGGTCAGGGCCGCCATGATGCAGATGTCATGGCTGGAGCTGGGACGGCAGTTTGGGAACTTTTAGTCATCAAAGTACCTACCGCAATTCTAAAGAGCATGGGTTTTATTTTTAAGATAGTAATAGTAACTTAAAACTTGGTGAGTTGTATTACATATTTATCATGAGGGGTTTTGTATCACTTGAAAACCTAGATTTGTGGTTTTCCCAGTTTAAATAAAGATGTTTTTGTTTTCAGAAAAGATCCTCATGGGTTTTTCGCTTTTCCTGTCACGGATGCAATTGCTCCTGGATACTCAATGATAATAAAACATCCTATGGATTTTGGCACCATGAAAGACAAGATTGTAGCCAATGAATACAAGTCTGTCACAGAATTTAAGGTAACCTGGTTTCAGTTCCTGAAATCACTGCTATGAGGCTCTGTGTGTTTATGTCCCGTGAACACTCCGTCCACCTTAGCTTGTTCCCAGTTGCAAATTTCCATGGGCATTTGAGTGTTTGGGTTGAGGTCACCCAAACACAGCATCGGGGGTAATGGGTTGGCTGAAATGTCCTCTGTATTTTTGTGTGGAAGCCCGACCATATGTTGCAAGCCGTAGGAACAAATCGGGTCGCGCAGGAGTGTGTCGATTTGGTCTGGCTCCAGAGTGGGTGTATCTAGAAATGCAGTTTTCCTAATTTTTAGATTTATAGGAACTGAGAATTTAATTTTTTTTGAATAATAAATTTTTTATTTTTTATTCTTACGTTAATCACTACATTACATCGTTAGTTTTAGATGTAGTGTTCCATGATTCATTGTTTGTGCATAACACCCAGTGCTCCATGCAGAACGTGCCCTCCTCAATACCCACCACCAGGCTAACCCATCCTCCCGCCCCCCTCCCCTCTAGAACCCTCAGTTTGTTTTTCAGAGTCCATCGTCTCTCATGGTTCGTCTCCCCCTCCGATTTGAATAATAAATTCTTAATAACACCTGAGTACATAGCTCTTAAATCTGTTTCTTTCTACCACCTACGAGGTGGTAGAAATTGATCTCGGCTTTGAAACCCGGGGGGGATCAAAATGAGTGCTTCACAGCTTTGGCAATCTTGTCATTTATGAAAGGGCATCAGTTTTCTTTCTTAGTTTTGGTTAAATTTGGAAGGCTTGGCTTCTTTACTTTCGTTTCCTGGTGATGTGACAGAGTTTGCCGAGCTGTGGAAGCAGTGCCACGCGAAAGGGTATTGCATAGAGTGGGCATTTCCTCTGGAGGGTCGGGCACTGCCCCAGGGGTGGATGGCTAGTGGCAGCCTGCAAGTCCTTCACCTTCCTAACTTGGATCCCAGTTTGGTCTGCTGCCCAGTGACCGTCGTGGATGTGAGCAGCGTCCCCTTTCCCCTACGTTCTCAAGACTGGTACCTTGGGGCCAGCGAAGGACGGGGGCTTCACAGCCTCAGGCCCAGCCTTGGGGACCTTGGCGTGGGGCCGTGCTGGGGCTCGGGAAGAGCCGGGGTGGTTTGCACTGTGTTGCTTGGCTGGCTTTAGCTGTCCTTGTGCATCCTGATGGCTGACTCACCTGTGATAGGTGTGTGCCGCATGTAATTTGGTTAGGGTGACAAAATACTGAGGTTTCCAATAGTTGATTTTTAATATAAGTTGTTCAGTAAGAGTCTCCTTGTGTTAGCGGAAGGGTTTGCTCTGATGCTTGTAATTACTCGTAGACAAAATTCTGAATTCTGTGGAAAAATCCCAGAGATAGAGAACACTAATGTGCCCGGGTTTCCGCTCATCCCTTGGCTCTAATGAAAAAAACCTGGTTGTCGTTCTTGTTCCTGTTTATGTCTGAGTTCCTCCCAAAGTGGGAGAGCTAGAGACAGAAGAGAGGGCTGCCGTGTTCTTACCACATGCGTGTGTCACACTCAGGAGGAAGTTTGGGGCTTGGCAGGCTTCTCACTGTGTGCAGGGAAAGACCAGTGAACAATTAGGAACATTTTTCTGAAGGTCTGAAAACCATATGTTAAAGTGAAGAGCCTAATCTAGTTGTTTCCCACTCACTTTGAGTCTCTTGACAGGAATCTAGTTTATGCTGTTGTCTTGGTGGCATTTCACATGGGGTGGATACTATTTTTTTTCCCTTTTCAGGCAGATTTTAAGCTGATGTGCGATAATGCCATGACCTACAACAGGCCGGACACTGTGTACTACAAGCTAGCCAAGAAGATCCTTCACGCGGGCTTTAAGATGATGAGCAAAGTAAGAAGCCCTTTGGCAGCGAGGAGCCACAGAAACAAGAATTCTCCTCTGTGTTTTTATGCCTAAACAGAACCTCACCCCAGTGAATGACATGCTTCCATCCATCCGTCACTGGCCGCGGTGTGGATCCCTCTGCTCTAGGGTAGACGTCCCAGGCCACCCTCCCCTCCAGGCGCTCTCTCTCTCTCTTTCTCTCTGTGCTCCTGCTCATGATCCAGCTGTAATGTCTCCTTAGGGTTGGTGGAAAGTTCTGGATCTGTTGATCTGAGCCTGGGTGTCTTGTCTCACTGGATTGCAGCCAGCCTGTGATTTGTTTTACATGGCTGCCCACTGAATCCAGATGGGACATCTTGGCCATCCGGCGTGGCTTCCCAGATCTGTCCCATGAGCCAGGTTGCATGTGTCATGCATCTAGGACCAGTGCCTTGTGCCTGATCAGCCTGTAGGTGAGGTGTGGCTCCTGTGCCCTTGGCCTGTCCCCTCGGCCAGCCCTGGGTGCTCCCGGCCAGTTGGCCGCACCTTTGGTGCTGACTCCCACCACCACCTCCCACGGTAGCGCCGTGGAGGTCAGCTGTTAGGCCAGGTGAGGCTGTGGCCATCCCCATCCCACCCATCGTCATGGCACCCTGGCTGTGAGGCAGAGGTAAAGCCCTGCTGCTCTGTCCTTTTTGATTCTAGGAGCGGCTGTTAGCTTTGAAGCGCAGCATGTCGTTTATGCAGGACATGGATTTTTCTCAGCAGGCAGCTCTTCTGGGCAATGAAGATACAGCCGTCGAGGAACCTGTTCCTGAAGTGGTACCCGTACAAGCAGAAACTGCCAAGAAATCCAAAAGGCCGAGTAGAGAAGTCATCAGGTAAAGAGAAGTGCGTGTGCCTGTTGCGTGGGACACACACCTCGGGAAGGCGGGTGAGGGGGCATCCTGTGCTGGTGCCCACGGCCTTGGAGGAGCTCACAGACGGCTGCTTGTGCGAGGTGGGGGGAGCACAGTCCCCAGGGGCCTGGGTCCACGCTCTAGCCTTAGGTGTTCCCAGGCAGCCGGCAAGCAACCTGGACCAGCTAGGACTTGTCCTGCAGGAAAGCCACTGTCACGCTGATGGACATAAGGTGCCGAAGGCGGGACAGCCCCTGCCGCCACACTCGGGCTCCGGAGCCCATCTGGCCACCGCTGTTCCCACATGTGTGTCGTTTGTGAATAATTGTTGGCCCTTCATTCCCAAGAGGTTCCCTCCCATGCAGAACGCATGCTAGTGGCCTGGCTTGGCTGTCCCCGGCTCAGGGGACATAACTGTGCTGCGTTGGGCAGGCTGCATGCTTAGGAGTGGGGGCTTCTTTCTCATCGTACCCCCTGAGCCAGAGCAAGGGCCTTTTTGTAGGCTTGGGGTCCGCAGGCAGGGTTTGCTCCCACAGCTCCTTAGAAGGGATCTACCCATTTGTTTCTAGACCCTTCCACAGGAGAGGCCACCTCCCTTGGGTGCTGCACCCAGCGACTCTTGACTCAGTTTAAGGAAGGAACTCCTTCACATGGGGCTTCTGGCCACCTGCGGGAGGCTTGGGATGCCCCTGGGGACTCACGGCCTTGTGTTCCTAGCTCACATTTGTTGTGGGTGCTTCAGCCCTCCACGGAGTTCTGCCCCTTTTTCTTTTTTTTTTTTTTTAAAGATTTTATTTTTTATTATTTGACAGAGAGAATGAGAGAGAGAGAGCACATGAGAGGTGGGAGGGTCAGAGGGAGAAGCAGACCCCCCGCCGAGCAGGGAGCCCGATGCGGGACTCGATCCCGGGACTCCGGGATCATGACCTGAGCCGAGGGCGGTCGCTTAACCAACTGAGCCACCCAGGCGCCCAATGAAACTTTATTATTTTTTTATAAAGATTTTATTTATTATTTGACAGAGAGAGAATGAGAGAGAGAGAGCACATGAGAGGGGGGAGGGTCAGAGGGAGAAGCAGACCCCCCGCCGAGCAGGGAGCCCGATGCGGGACTCGATCCCGGGACTCCGGGATCACGACCTGAGCCGAAGGCAGTCGCTCAACCGACTGAGCCGCCCAGGCGCCCATCTGCCCCTTTTTCTAATGGCGCCTTGAATGACACTAGGTTTGTGAGCCTCCCGGCATGTGGTAAGGTTCTCTTCGGGCAGCTCTTAGATGACTGACACGTGAGGAACGTCTAGTGGCCGTTTGGGTTACCCTTACTCTTGGTGGAAGTGTTTTGTGTTGCTGTGGTTACAGCTAAAAGGACAGGATTAAGGTGTGCTTCCTGCTACCAGCCCCTGGTGACCTCCAGGAGTGTTAGGGGCTGGCCCCAGGGGAGGTGGGAGGGGCGTGTTCCCCAGCCTCCTGGTGACCTGTGTGCTGTTCCCGCTTCGTAGCTGCATGTTTGAGCCAGAAGGAAATGCTTGCAGCCTGACGGACAGCACGGCGGAGGAGCATGTCCTGGCCTTGGTGGAGCACGCAGCCGACGAGGCTCGGGACAGGATCAGCCGGCTCCTCCCAGGGGGCAAGGTAGCGGCAGGAGGGCTGGGCAGGGCTGCGCCTGGTTGATGCATTGGTCACTGCAGGGTCGTGTTGGCTCCTGTCACCGGCCTCATCTCCTGGGTGGGAGGGGGCCTCCAGGGGCACCTTGAAGGCAAGACCCTCACAGAAGCTGTGTGTAGTGTGTGGATGCCCGTGGACAGGCTCACCCTTTGGTGGGATGTTGGTCGCTGTTGCTGGAAGGCTGGGCCCACCAGGCTTCTGCAGCTGGAACCTTGTCCCGGTGTGCTTGCGTCTCTGTACCCCTCTGCAGTGCCCGGGGGTTCCATGTGACCCAGGCATGGCCCGTGGGAGCTGCCCCAGCAGCTGCTCATCCTTAGGAAAAGGCCCCACCATCCTTTGAACACCTCGCCATAAGAATAGACCAGCATGTCCAGTAGAAACCGCGAGGGTCCTGTGTACAGTTTTAAGCCTGGTAACGAAAACAGAGATGAAATTAATCCTGGTGCCTCTTACTTGACCTGGTATATCCGGTCTTAACGTTAGCTTGTGCTCTATAAGAAACCGTTAGAACTGCATGTCCTTTTTCCCACACGAAGGCTTTAAGATGCATGTTGAGTGGTAGGTAAAGAATTTTGAATGATAATGTTCTAGACGTGCTGGGTTATGTGAGATACTGAGGTCGGTGTCTTTGTACGTCTTTAAGCCCTCCTGGTGGAAAGTTTGAAGTTGCCTGTGTGGCTCGTGGTGTTGTGCTGCTGGACCCGCTGGTCTGCACCCCTGTAGTGCTCCGGCCCTGGGGTCTCCAGGGAGCCCAGGCTCTGGGTGCGGCCCGCCTTGGGCGGGGCTCAGAAAGACCCAGTGCTGACCTGTGTGTACTCGAAGCGTGCGTCCGCACCCAAACCCCCATTGCTCCCGGCACCGTGCCCGCTTCACTTGTCTCCCTTTCGGGTGTTGGAATTCCACAGCGAGAAACCTGACTGCAGTTACTTGGTCAGTGGCGATGGATCCCCTGTCCTCGCTTCCCCTCCCCGCCCAGCCCTGCCCTCAGGCTCCACAGGCTCCAGGGTGCAGGCCCGAAGGCCACCCTCCTCCCGTTCCCCACACCGACATGCAGGTGTCTCTCTTCCTGGACCTTCCTGGTGGCCTTCAGAAGAGGAGTGGTTTTGTTTGGTGGTTGGTCTTTAAGTGGAAGTGAGTCCCTTGTGGTTTAGATATGGAGCCTCTAGGCCATTCACAGACATGGCCCTTGGTGACCAGAGTCTTGTTCTAGCTCATCTGGTTCAGGTTCTGACATCCTGTGAAATGGTTGTTTCTGGGTAAAGCCTCCTGTTTCAAAAGCTCTTTCAGAAGGGTCACAAGGAACCTGAGTTCTTCCAGTGCACACAGGTCTGAAATTAAATTCGGGAAGGTATGAGAGGGGCCTCTGTAGCCTTTTCCACAGGGAAACCAAGAACCTCTTGGCCTTCTGGGGTTCATCCCAGTTAGGTCATACTGGGAGGCCTCTATTTTGTTGGCGTGTCAGTAGAAACTGCAACCGCAGGATTCTGTTCAGGGGACGGGCATTCAGGTGTGCTTTCTTGCAGATGGGCTATCTGAAGAAGAACGGGGACGGCAGCCTGCTCTACAGCGTGGTCAACACGGCTGAGCCGGACGCCGACGGTGCGTGGCCCCTTGCAGGGCTGGGCTTCTCCGAGCCCCACACACTGCTTTGTTAGTCTCTGCACCGCCAAGGATTTTAAAACTTCGTAACCTGTTTGAGATCAGCATTTCCCCTGCAGAGCATGGCACCAGTGGTAAAGCATAGAGAAGAGTCCCCCCCGTCTGGTTTCATGCTCCTGTACGTCCCCCTTGACACGACCCGTGTGTGATAAATGGACAGAGGGCAGTCGTCCTGCGGGGGCGGAGGTCCTGGTCAGACCTCTTGTGCCCGACAGTCCCCAGCACAGGCAGAAGGACTGGAGCTGCACTCCCACAGAGCTGTGGTTCTAGAAGCCCTCGTGGCCTGACTTCCTGGTCCCATCACCAGTAAGGGCTCCCTGTGAGAAACCAGAGTGCTCAGTCTCCCATTCGCCAAGCTCGAAAGAGGCCCAGACGTGAGCTTTAGAAGAAATACCCTGTTTGATCATCGTGTTAAGGAAGATCTTGGTGGAGACACAGATGCTGGATCTGTGCAGTCTTTTCTGTGGGTTCTAAGAAGCGTTTATGTACTTCTTCGTCTCTGAAAAGTGCTTCGAAGGTTTGCCTTTGAGGAAGAGCAAAGCTCACTTGGACTTGCAATACATTCTCTCACACGCAAAGGAAAATAAAATATTCTCCATTGTTCTCGCCCGCATGGGTGTGGGGCCGCTCCCACCGCCTGGGGCTCTTGGCAGTGTTCTTTAATGTGGCCCTAGATAGGGGCTTAGTGTTCTCTGACAGGTACCCCGGGTGGACCCTGGCTGAATACTCTGGCTGAAATGAGTGGTAACATTCTTCGTAAGAGAACACAAGAGCTGATAACTCCCAGCTTAGAAAGAGATAGTGAAGGTTCGAGAATTGTAGTGGCTTCTGTAAAGTTGATCTTAGCTGGTCTTTGTAGAGAGCCCCTGAGCCTCCCTATGTGCCCAGGTGAGGCAGTGTGGGGGCTGGGAGCTCCCCGAGCCACCTGCTCACAGCCTGGTCCCCTTACAGAGGAGGAGACCCACCCCGTGGACCTGAGCTCGCTCTCCAGCAAGCTGCTCCCGGGCTTCACCACGCTGGGCTTCAAAGACGAGAGAAGGGGCAAAGGTGAGTGAGGCGGGCAGGTAGGGGCAGGGGGTCACAGCAGAGGTGTGGACCCGGAGTCCTCCCCCAAGATCTTCCTGGCTTACCTGTTTTTAGTACCGTATCCCCACGCTGGCTCTGAAATAGCAGTGAAATTCCGGTCATTTGAAGTGAGGGGAATAAAAATGAGTGGGCAGGCTCCTGCTGTCTGCTCTTGCCAGTGGGTGGGTCTGAGCTCCGTGCTGACGCTGGGTAGGGGTGCACAAAGGTGTCTGGAGGACGATGGTGGGCAAGGGTGGGCACGGTGGGGGAGGGAGGGAGGGGACTGACCGGTGTGTCGGCTGCTCCTGTGCTCGAGCAGGCAGACGTTCGTGGCCGGCTTGCTGGTTTTGGGGTGTGTCCGGGCGAGCAGCAGTTTTGTTCCCAGGGGACATTTTCTGGTCACACCGTGGTCCTACTGGCGTCGAGCGGGGAGAGGCCTGGAGTGCTCCCCCACACCATTCCTCTCGAGCCCTGACTTCGTGTGGAGGTGCAGCGATGCCTCCTTCAGGGCACGGAGCCTCTGAGTCCCTTGACCTGCCCTCCCCGCAGGCTCAGTCCGCAGCGCTGTCTGGGGACTGCGCTCTGGGGACGCTGGCGCTCAGGCCCCTGCAGAATGCACTCGCTTCTCTGTGGTCATGGCTCGGACGTAAAACGAGGCATTGAGGCAGTTCTGGCTAGGCCCCGAATGCTGCTACTCTTGGGGTGTGCTGAGGGGCGGCATTTGCATGCAGAAGAGAGCGTGTGACGGTGGGGGCTGGTGGGGGCCCGGTGCGGGGGCCCGGCCTGCGGAACGCCGGCGCGCGTCTCATGCCCTCGTGCTCCCCTCTCGTGCTCTTAGTGACGTTTCTCTCCAGCGCCACCACCGCCCTGTCAATGCACAACAATTCCGTATTTGGCGACTTGAAACCGGACGAAACGGAGCTGCTGTATTCTGCCTACGGAGACGAGACGGGTGTGCAGTGCGCACTGAGGTGAGCAGGGTTGGCGGAAACGCGGACCGGCTTCCTGCCCGCTCTGCGGCGGGAACGTGTCCCCGGCCCCGCCTGTGTGTGTGTGGGGAAGCAGAAGTTTCCACGTTACTTCCCGTCGACCGCAGGTCGACGTCGAAGCTCAGGTAACTCAGCTGGTAGTGTGAGCGGGTGATGATCCGGGTTGTAGTTGGGAAGGGAATGTGTGTGTGCGTAACCCGCGCCGTGCACGTTGAGTTTGTCTCGTGACTTTATTGAAATGTGGCCTCGTGGCTGTGCTAGACTGCTTGGGCCACCAAAACAGAGCACCGCGGGCCAGATGGCTTCAGTGGTAGGCATTTATCTTCTGGTGGTCCTGGGGGCTGTTGGTCTGAGATCCAGGCGCATGCAGGGCTGGCTTCTCCTGAGGCTTCTTGGCTTGCAGACGCCGTGGTCTCCCTGTGTCCTCACGTGGGCGTCCTGACCTCCGCTTCCTTTAAAGACACCAATCGTAATGGATTAGGGCCCACCTTGAAGACCTCGTCCTAGCCTAATTACCTCTTAAAGGCCCTGTCTCCAAATACAGTCCACATTCTGAGGTCCTGGGGTTAGAGCTCAATGTAAGAATTATGGGCCATAGTCGAGTCCCTGACAGTGATGAAGATGTGGTCTTAAAATCATAGATGCAGTACTGTGTTTTTGTAGAACTGTTTTTGTGTGTATTTTTTTGCTTTGTGTGCCAAGTAGAAGTGGGTCACTCTTACAGAAGTTTAGTAATTTTCCAGGAGGAAAGTAAAATTTTGTCAACCTCTAAGAAATGGGTTTTTTCCACATTAGATCTCTGTTTAATTCGAAACCGAATACAGGGTACATTTTAAAAATGAACAGTAAGAAATCAGTTAGTCCTTACTACAGGAAGTGAGTACGTATCCAGGTTTTTGTGAAACCAAAGAAGTAGAAGTGGAAAACCAAGGAGGCAATTTGTTGTGGGCGAGGACAGTGTCACAAGTGGTGACCCTCTCCTTTACCCCACTGCCCTGTCACAGCCCTCCAGGGTCAGCAGCCACCTTTGGTTCAGGTGGCCTTGTCCAGCGCCCGCTCCCGAAGCACAGACGGACTCTGGGTGCCAGACAGCGAGAATCCCAGGCGTGTGGGCAGCACACGGAGGCGGGCGGGCAGACAGCGCTCCTCCCTGGCATCCCCACGTCGCCTCCCCACGTGCTCTGTTCCAAGGCACTTCCAGACCACACCCTGAGTGTTGCGACTGCTCCCTGCCCCTTCGCACCTCAGTTTGGTGGTTTCTCCTAAAATGCGCCTGGTGCCGACTTGTGTGTGTTGTCACGGTTTCACTTCCAGACCAGCCCTTCTCAGCCTCTGCCCAGCCTTCGATGCTAGGACTTGGGCTTTTGGTCTCTGCTTCTTTTTGAAATACTTTGGTTTTATGTATTTATTTATTTTTTAGCATTCCTGTGATCCAAAAATCAAAATCACCCTCTAGGGCGTATGCAGAGAGACATGCTTCCGTATTGATCCGTCCCCTCCCCATTGCGGAGCATCCTCCTCAATCTACTTATGTTTTTAAATCCAATAAAAAAAAAAGATAAAATTATTCTTCTTTTACAGAAGTTAGTGTAAGATATCTGGTTGACCCTTGAGCAACACGGCTTTCAATTGTGCAAGTCCATTTACATGCGGCTTTTTTTCATTGAACATAGTACAGTATTGTAAACGTATTTTCTCTCTGATCATTTTCCTTGTAACGTGTTTTTCTTTAGTTTGCTTTATTGTGAGAATATGGTGCATAATACATGTAATTTATAAAATCTGTATTAATCAGTGTATTCTGTCATCAGAAAGGCTTCTGGTCAACAGTAGACTGTTGGTTAAGTTTTGGGAGAGTCAGAAGTTAATATGCAGATTTTCAGCTGTGGGGTTCAGTGCCCCTGATCCTGCGTTGCTCAAGGGTCAACTGAATACATATAGACTGTTGTTCACTTTTTTTAAAAATAATTTTCTCTTGAGATGTTTTTAACCTTTTTGGGTCGCGGGCCACTTTGAAGATCTGATGAAGACTCCTGATTCCCCCCCCAAAACTATATCTGGGAGGTTTGGTGCGCCCAGTAAGACCCTCTCTTGTGGAGGAACATCTGAGGAGGTGGGCTGACAGGGCGGGCTCCTGAGATCAGGACCACCGGCGCTGGTGGAAGAATCTGGACGACTAGAGGGTGTGCTGCCTGTCTGATCATGTTCCCTCGTGGCCCTTCCAGCCTGCAGGAGTTTGTGAAGGATGCTGGGAGCTACAGCAAGAAAATGGTGGATGACCTCCTGGACCAGATCACCGGTGGGGACCACTCACGAATGCTCTTCCAGCTAAGGCAGGTGGGTGCGCCGTGCTGGCCCCCTTGCGGGCGCCCACGGCCCTGGGCTCCTGCCATTGGGTCACTGCTGTTGGAGAGCCCATCCAGACTGACGTGGTTCTGGCTAGCTGTTCTTCCCTTATTCTTTTTTTATTTTCCTTTTTTTCCCATAAACGGTTAATTTTCTCTCAGGAACTTAAAAATAGTTGTCTCTATTGACCACATATTCACCATTTCTGGCACTCTTGATAACATTTTTTTTTTTAAAGATTTTATTTATTTGACAGAGAGATAGAGAGCACAAGTAGGCCGAACAGCAGGCAGAGGGAGAGGGAGAAGCAGGCTCCCCGATGAGCAGGGAGCCGGACGCAGGGCTCGATCCCAGGACCCTGGGATCATGACCTGAGCTGAAGGCAGACGCCTAACTGACTGAGCGACCCAGGTGCCCCTCTTTGTAACTTTTTATGTACCCGAATTTCTTTCATCTACTGTCATTTTCCTTCATCCTGAAGAACCTTCTTTAATATTTCTTGTGGTATAGACTTGCTGACAGTGAATTTACTCAGCCTTTTTTTTCTTTGTCTGAAAAACGTTTTTATTTTACCTTTATTTTTGAAATTCATCTTCCCTGGGTGTGGAATTACAGGCTGTTGTTTTCCTGTCTACTTTAAAAGATGCCTGACTGCATTGTTTCCAGAGTGTTTGTGGTCGTTTTCATCTGTGTTTTCCTCCTGTCACCTGTCGTCTGGTTGCATCAAGGATTGGCAGATGTGGGCCCATGAGCTACGAATGTTCTTTTACCTTCTTAAAGGCTGTAAAAAAAAAGTGTGCTACAGACCTTATGTGGCCCACAAAGCCTCAAGGATTTGCTCTTCAGTCCTTTGGAGAAAGGTTACTGAATGCTGCTCTAGATATTTTTATTTTTTAATTTTCTTTTTCTTTTTTTCTTTTTTTAAGATTTTATTTATTTATTTGACAGAGAGAGATACAGCGAGAGAGGGAACACAAGCAGGGGGAGTGGGAGAGGGAGAAGCAGGCTTCCCGCGGAGCCGGGAGCCCGATGTGGGGCTTGATCCCAGGACGCCGGGACCATGACCCGAGCCGAAGGCAGACGCTTAGCAACTGAGCCATCCAGGCGCCGCTGCTCTAGATGCTTTTAAATCTGAGCCCTTGTAACTGGTTTTCAGTGGGTCATTGTTGTGTCGTAGTGTTCTTCATGTTTATTCCACTTACCAGTTGTCGAGTTTCGTGGACCTATCAGTTTATAGTTTTCTTCAAATGGAAGATTTTCATCCATTATTTCTTCAAATACCATTTCTGCCCACACCCCACTTCTATCATTTTTCTAGGACTTTGACACAGGTGTTAGAGATCTTGACCTGTTCTGCATGCTGTTAATGCTCTGTTCCTTTTTAGTCTTTTTTCCGTCTTCGCGTTTGGTTTCTGTTGCCGCGGCTCCAGTGGAGTGATCTGGTTTAGTGCTGCGTCGACATCTGCTGTTAATCCCAGCCACTGAACTTCACTTCAGCTGCTGTGTTCATCTGCCTTTCCTTCACGTTATGTTCATGCTTTCCTTTAAATTTGGACCTATTTGTAGTATCTAGTACGGCTGCTTTTAAAGTCCTTATCCACTAATTCTGTCATCTCTGTCACTTCTGGATTTGCCTCTTGGCAGATTTTCTTCTGTTTATAGGCCACGATTTGCTGCTTTTTTGTTTGATTGGATCCTGGGTGTCACAGTGTTGAGTCTCCCTTGTCTAGACCATGCTGATACAGAGCCAGCGGCCACTAGTGGCTGGTGGAAGTTTTACTGTGGCTTGTCTCCATTTAGATACGATGAAAATGTGAACTACAAACCAGAATTTCAGAGGCCAGTACAGAAAATGAAATGTAAAAATATTTCATTGGTTTATTTGGATTATACGTTAAAGAATGTTTTCAGTACGTTAGATTAAGTAAAATATGTTACTGTAGTTGAACGTTAACATTAATTTTCGTCGGCTAGTAGAAAATTAAAGTTCGGTGTATGCCCACGTTATATATTACTGCTGGGCAAGGCTGGTCTGGCTTACTGTGTTCCTTTAAAGAACATTGATGTTCTTTTTGGCAGAGTCCTTGTGAGTCACCTGATTTCTTGGGGTTTGCTTTTAAGCTTTCTTAGGGCGGGTTTAGGTGGCCTTTACGTTGGGTGAGTTTGGCCCTGATACTAAGGAATGGCCCTCCTGGGGTCTCCTGTGGTCGCCAAGTTTCAGTGAGGACTAGCTCTGGCCGGGTGGAGTACGGGTGTGTGTCCCCATGCGTGCCTGGCCCCGCAGTGTCCCATCTGTGCGTGCACAGGTTACTGTCCGCTGGACGGGTCCCTCCCGGATTTGTGGAGCTCCTGCTGGGAGCTGTGTCTTCCTCTTCAGACTTTGCCCACCAGCCGCCAGCCAGTGAACTCTCACTTCTTCGCGTGCTTGGCCACAGTGCTCCAGGTGCTGTTTTCTGTTCTGTGGCCTGAAAGTTTACTCCTGGGGCTGCCCCTGGGCACAGTGCCTGAGCCGTGTCTTTATGCTGTGTGGTGCTTATAGCAGGACATTAAAATAGTGGTGATATTTCTACTCAAGTTTATAAAAATTGCAGCACAAGGGAATTTCCAGAACATTATCACAAACAAAAGATTTTAGGTGCAGAAGTTTGCAACCTCAATGATTGTTTTTAGGTACATGCACACAACTAGGGTATTTTGAAGGTGATGTTCCTGCCAAATTGTAAGGCAGTTAGGTTTAGGCTTCTGATCTGCACACGTGGCCACATGTGGCTGGGGTCCCTACGGAATGTGGTCACGTGATAGTGGTTCCGGGTGACTTTGGGTCCCACTCAGGTTGTGGTCGCACAGTAGTTAAGTGTGAGCCTCTTGTAGGCTTTGTGCAGCCTGAGGAGAAGGGTACGTGGGCCCGTAGCCCAGGCCACCTGAGGGCCCTGGTGCCTCTTCATCCAGCAGGTGAAACCGCCAGGCCTGGTATTTTTCCCTGAGACACCGGGCACAGTGTCGGACTTTTACTTTGTGTTTTAAGCTGTCCAGCGCTGCAAGAACAGGTTGGGTGCTCTCCCACTTCCTCTTCATCCTGTCCAGGGTGCTCCCAGGGCGCTCGGCCCACCGGGGATCTTGGCTGGGGCTACGTGAGTTGGGCCCTCCGTGGGTCTAGTTGGCTGTCTCGCTCAATCTCTGCCATCTCCATGGAAGCAGACAAGGCCCAGCTCTGACTTACAATATGGTATGAACATCATGGGGACAACCCCAGCAATAGTGAATAAACTGTTTTTAATTCACACTTGTGTACATGACGTGAGTGAAATGTTCTGTATAAAACTGTTTTGGAAAAACTGGCTTCTCAAACCTGTTTTGATTTGCAGAGGAGAAATGTTCCAGTGAAGCCTCCAGACGAAGTGAAGGTGAGTTGTACAGTCATGTAAGTAAAAACCCAATTATTAGCGTTCCTGTGGGGAACGGTCATGTTCAGCCTCTGATACGGGGTGGCTGAGGAGAGGTGCGTGTGGTGTTTTATTGAGAAACTGATGAAGTGGTCGTCTCCTCCGCCGTGATTTTTAATGACTGGAGCGAGGGATGGAAAGCCACGGTACTTCCCCTCCAGCCCACACGCAGCAGCTGTGGAGCAGTGGCCACGCGGGGGGCTCTGTCTTCACAGGGGCCCGGGAGGGGTGGGCCTGCTGGGGCCTGTGGAGTGAGGAGCAAGCTTGGTTTCTGGTGCGGTGGGTTCTTCCGGCCCTCCCAGGACGTACTGTGTGCTGCCAGCCAGGGCCATATGCACTGCATCCTTGTGAGTGAGGCCAGCTTGACAGATCCATGTCCTCAGGGCATTCCCAGCACCCAAAGTAGACTGTTTGCATATGAGGAAACTTCATCGTGGTCTGGCCTCGGTTTCCCCATTTTTCTCGTCCCTTGGGAGTAACTTGGAGCGTGCATGTTGATAACAAACTTTGACCACAGCCCCCGTGTTGGAGCAGAGGCACCAGGCCTCTGAGCAGGCCGTGGGGGCCTGGGTCACAGGTGTTACCTGGCCTCGGTGGACGGAGGGCCCGCTCCGGAGACACGTCAGGTGCCCATCAGGTGGGGCTCATCGAGTGACAGAATGGGGAGGGTGGCATGGATGTCTCCCCTGAGGGGTGTGCCTTGGTGTGGCCAGATTTGAGATGCAGGCAGGGCTCTGCTCGGGGTCTCTTGGTGACGCGGATGTGCCGTGGCATGGAGCACAAGTCCCACAGGGTGTCTGTGCTGTCGGCTGTCTTGAGCTGGGAGCCCAGCACCCCCTCGGTCCTACCACCAGCGCCTGCACGCAGACAGCCCAGGGCAGCCCCGGGAGCTTTCCGAAGGGGCCTCCTGCAGTGCCAGGAGCACCAAGCCCCGCTTCCCCACCGTCCTCCTCAAGCCTGTGGCGGCAAGCAGCTGTTGCGTGTCTTTCCCGTTGGCAGGCAGGGTGCGGCCTGTCATTGGCGAGGAGGCGCCGGCCTCTCCTCGTCTCCCTTCATTTCGTTGGTGCTCGCACCCCTCACGACATCTGTGGCACGTGCTGCCGGCACCACTTGGGGCTCCTGGACATCGCTGCAGATGTGGCAGTCGTGTTTTTCTTTAGACTTAAGTTTCAGCACCCCCAAAGGCACAGACTCTGATATCAGACAACATCCTTTCCAACGCTGCCTTGGAGCGTAGATCTCCGTGCTTAACAAGTACGCAGAACCGGCTGATGGGAAGGTGGGCATCAGCGTAGTTTCCTGTAGGGGAGCCACAGGGCTCTCGCCCCCGGGATGCTTCTTGGGGTGTGTGGGGGGACTGTGGCTCTGTGTGGTTTCTAGGGAAAGAAATTGTGAGCAAGCCAGCTTTTTTAAATTGTTTTTACAGGCTCCACGTTGCCTCGTGTTGTAGGGTCATCAGGTAAACCTATGAAACCTTGAAAGCCGTAGCTGTGGGATGATTGTCCCAGGCATGTAAGGAATAAGGGCCTTGTGTGGGGCCCTGGGCAGGATAACAGTGCCAAGCCTCAGTCTCTGGTTGCGGAGCAGGGTGGTAATGCGGGGGTGGTTGTAAGACTCTGGCAGTGCTCACTGCTGGTGTATGGCTACTGCTATACTCTGTAAATGTGAGCTCTGCCTGGTGTGTTGATGGCCCAAAGTCATCACTGTAACAGATCCTCTTGAGAGAAGTTATTTATCAGAGTGTAGACAGAAGTGACTTTTATGAAAGTCAGAACAAGCAAATTCTCGGATCACCCCAACAAGACAGTCCAACAGAATGGGGTTCACACCCAGATGAGACAGCCCAGTGGGAGAGGGCTCACACCCCGGCCCAGATAGTCTGACAGGAGAGGGCTCACACCCAGAGGAGACTGACGGGAGAGGGCTCACACCCAGGTCCAGACAGACTGACGGGAGAGGGCTCACACCCAGAGGAGACTGACGGGAGAGGGCTCACACCCAGGTCCAGACAGACTGACGGGAGAGGGCTCACACCCAGGTCCAGACAGACTGACGGGAGAGGGCTCACACCCAGAGGAGACTGACGGGAGAGGGCTCACACCCAGGTCCAGACAGACTGACGGGAGAGGGCTCACACCCAGAGGAGACTGACGGGAGAGGGCTCACACCCAGGTCCAGACAGACTGACGGGAGAGGGCTCACACCCAGAGGAGACTGACGGGAGAGGGCTCACACCCAGGTCCAGACAGACTGACGGGAGAGGGCTCACACCCAGGTCCAGACAGACTGACGGGAGAGGGCTCACACCCAGAGGAGACTGTCTGACGGGAGAGGGCTCACACCCAGGTCCAGACAGACTGACGGGAGAGGGCTCACACCCAGGTCCAGACAGACTGACGGGAGAGGGCTCACACCCAGGTCCAGACAGACTGACGGGAGAGGGCTCACACCCAGAGGAGACTGACGGGAGAGGGCTCACACCCAGGTCCAGACAGACTGACGGGAGAGGGCTCACACCCAGAGGAGACTGACGGGAGAGGGCTCACACCCAGGTCCAGACAGACTGACGGGAGAGGGCTCACACCCAGAGGAGACTGACGGGAGAGGGCTCACACCCAGGTCCAGACAGACTGACGGGAGAGGGCTCACACCCAGGTCCAGACAGACTGACGGGAGAGGGCTCACACCCAGAGGAGACTGACGGGAGAGGGCTCACACCCAGGTCCAGACAGACTGACGGGAGAGGGCTCACACCCAGAGGAGACTGACGGGAGAGGGCTCACACCCAGGTCCAGACAGACTGACGGGAGAGGGCTCACACCCAGAGGAGACTGACGGGAGAGGGCTCACACCCAGGTCCAGACAGACTGACGGGAGAGGGCTCACACCCAGAGGAGACTGACGGGAGAGGGCTCACACCCAGGTCCAGACAGACTGACGGGAGAGGGCTCACACCCAGGTCCAGACAGACTGACGGGAGAGGGCTCACACCCAGAGGAGACTGACGGGAGAGGGCTCACACCCAGGTCCAGACAGACTGACGGGAGAGGGCTCACACCCAGGTCCAGACAGACTGACGGGAGAGGGCTCACACCCAGAGGAGACTGACGGGAGAGGGCTCACACCCAGGTCCAGACAGACTGACGGGAGAGGGCTCACACCCAGAGGAGACTGACGGGAGAGGGCTCACACCCAGGTCCAGACAGACTGACGGGAGAGGGCTCACACCCAGAGGAGACTGACGGGAGAGGGCTCACACCCAGGTCCAGACAGACTGACGGGAGAGGGCTCACACCCAGGTCCAGACAGACTGACGGGAGAGGGCTCACACCCAGAGGAGACTGACGGGAGAGGGCTCACACCCAGGTCCAGACAGACTGACGGGAGAGGGCTCACACCCAGAGGAGACTGACGGGAGAGGGCTCACACCCAGGTCCAGACAGACTGACGGGAGAGGGCTCACACCCAGGTCCAGACAGACTGACGGGAGAGGGCTCACACCCAGAGGAGACTGACGGGAGAGGGCTCACACCCAGGTCCAGACAGACTGACGGGAGAGGGCTCACACCCAGAGGAGACTGACGGGAGAGGGCTCACACCCAGGTCCAGACAGACTGACGGGAGAGGGCTCACACCCAGGTCCAGACAGACTGACGGGAGAGGGCTCACACCCAGAGGAGACTGTCTGACGGGAGAGGGCTCACACCCAGAGAGGACAGCTGACGGGAGAGGGCTCACAGGCCTGGTGCCCCCTTGCTCAGTAGCAGGAGCTTCAGCTTCCTCTTCCAGGTTGCTGTGAGTCGCTGGGTGGAGGTGGACACCTGTCCGTGCTGTCCAGGCTGGTGGGGATCCTGCATGAGCTCATGCTCCGGGGAGGGCAGAGGGTGGAGTGGGGCCATGTGAAATGCCCCTGCGCAAGCCAGGCCCACAGACTCTGCATCTGCCGTGATACGGACTCTTGTTTAACTATTTGGTGAACTGTTCCTCCAGGGCATGTGTCAGGAGGGCACTGTTAGTGGGCAGTAACTTCCCCTCAGTGACTTAGGATCCAGCACCAAGGTGAGAGTATGTCTTGGCAGAATTTGAGGGCCTTGGTGTCTTAGGTGGTAGATCTCCCTTAAAATACCAGAGATGGCTCTTCTATGTTTATTTTAAAAATAGCCATACATTGGGCGCCTGGGTGGCTCAGTTGGTTGAGCGACTGCCTTCGGCTCAGGTCATGATCCTGGAGTCCCGGGATCGAGTCCCGCATCGGGCTCCCTGCTCGGCGGGAAGCCTGCTTCTCCCTCTGACCCTCCCCCATCTCATGCTCTATCTCATTCTCTCTCTCAAATAAATAAATAAATAAATAAAAAGAATGTTGCAACCAGGGCGCCTGGGTGGCTCAGTTGGTTGAGCGACTGCCTTCGGCTCAGGTCATGATCCTGGAGTCCCGGGATTGAGTCCCGCATCGGGCTCCCTGCTCGGCGGGAAGCCTGCTTCTCCCTCTGACTCTCCCCGTCTCATGCTCGCTCTCTGTCACTATCTCTCTCAATAAATAAATACAAATCTTTAATAAAAAAAAAAATAGCCATACATTAGCTATTATGTCTTAGTATCTTTAAGCAACAAATGGGCATGGACAGTTTGTGCGTGGCGGGGCGTAGGTCTCGGGCAGCATGGCATTGTTTCTGTAACGATGCAGAGCAGGAGCTTGACACAGGAGAGGTGCAGGGGGTCCTGGGGCAGCCGCAGAAGGAAAGAGAACATGCTGGCTTGGAGTCTGCCATGCTGTTAAGTGTGGTCCCTGAGAAGTAGCCGTGAGCACTTCAGATCCCGTGTGTCTGCCTGCTGCAGGGACCTGTCCCACGTGCCCTCAGCGGCACCCACTCCTGAGCTCACCCCGGTGGTGGTGGGTTGCAGTGTGGACTGGACACAGTGTGGTCTCGCCTGCTTCCCGGGGAGAGCGGGCCTGTCCCACCTGTGGCTGCAGGGCACGGATGCCCCTGTCGCTCCCTTGAGTTCAGTAGCTGGTGTTAACTGCCCACCAGTGACATCTCTCCTTCTCTGCCTGGTCTCTACCTGTCTCCCGCAGGCTGGGGACTCGCTGGGCGACGGCAGCTCCGTCCTGGACTTCATGTCGATGAAGTCCTACTCTGACGCCTCTTTGGACATCTCCATGCTCGGCTCTCTGGGTAGGTTGTGCTGGGCATGCTCACATCATCAGGCTCCGCTGGAAGAAGTGGACCTGCTCTTGTCTCTGGTGTTGCATTAGTCTGCTGGGCGGTCCCCAGGGGCACAGGCTGGTGCACTGAGGCCTGTCCTTGCTTCCAGGAGTCTGGCCGCCGTCCTCGGGACTCCCTCCCAGATGGTCCCAAAGCGGGGTTGCCCCAGTGGCCTTTCGGATGTCAGGCTCCATGTGAAGGATTGCCGGGGTCCCTCAGCCTGGTGGTTCATGCAGGGATGGGCTGCCTGCTTCGACTTGCTGTTCGTGCGTTGGTGTGTGCACGTGCGTCCCCACGGCCCCCACCACGCGAGACATCCTCTGTGCTCTGCATGGCACTCGGGCTTTTGGAGTGTCCCTGGCCACCCACCTCCCTGATGACCAGTGGTTCTCGTGGTGCTCCTCCTCCTCTCCCTTACTTTGGACACACCTGAGCTTTACTGTGGGGCTTCTCACCTGAGAGCAGCCCCCCCCCCACCATTGCGTGTGACAGTGTCTGGAGACATCTTTGGCTGTCACACTTGGGGTGTAGCGCTTCTGACATTGAGGGGTGGGGGCCAGATATGCTGCTAAACATTCTGAAGCACAGGGAGCAGCCCCCCAAGAACGACCCAGCCCCAGGGGTCACTGCTGCCGAGGATGAGAAACCCTGCCTACGTCAGAAGTGGGTGTCGTCAGACCTGCAGAGTGTGTGAGGGCAGGTCTTGCTTTGTTACCCAGCTTAGCAGGCTCTGCCTTTGGTTAGAGTGTTTTTAGACTGTATTTAGTGCAGTAACCCTATCCAGTTCAGGTCTAATGTCTTGCTACTGGTGATTTTCCCAATTGTTTGTGGGTCCCCCGCCTACTTCCCCGTTTGCTGGTTCCCTAGGACTCCTGGGATTTGCGGCTCTGGTTTGTTAGAGCAGGGGGACAAACCGGGATCCACAGAGGGACAGGGTGCACGGGATGATTCTGGGGGGGGGACCAGGTGGCACTTCCAGAGCCCTCTCTGCTTGGCACGTCTGCAGATCCCAGGCTCCTGGAAGCAAAGCAGGTGTTCAGTGGAAACCACATCGATTGCATGGACAGTTGAGGTGCAGGGAGCTCCTCTGTCACTGCAGTGGTAGGGACCCTTTGCGATCCAAGTTCACCAGCCAGGGGCCAGCTCTGCCTTGTGGGCTGGTGGTCTGAGACTGCAGAATTAACACTCTGCCAGCTACTCTTTGTGTTTAAGACTTTCTCCTTTTTACTGGGTTTTAGTAGTTTGGTTATGACTTGCTTGGGTGTGCTTTTGTTGAGATTGATCTTCCCAGGTTCGGTTCAGTTTGTTGGCCCCGGGGGTTTGTAGAGTTCATCAACTCTGGGAAGTTGAGCCATAATTGCAGCAGTCACCTGGGCCCCGGTTCTGCCGTTTGTCGCGAAGTCTCCTCTGCTTCGGGTGTGGCCGTCCCTTCCGCTGTGGCTGGCTTGCCGTGGCCCGTCCCAGGGTGGGGTGCAGGTCGCTAAGGACACCCTTCTCTCCCTGTCCAGGGGCTCCATCGGTTTTTCCAGCGTCTCCCCTTCTGCCCTTGCCGTTGTTTTCCTCTGCCTTTTGAGGAGCCAGTGCCCGGTCCCTGATGTCACGCCCGTCTTGTTCATGCCCTTCCTCCCTTGTTTGGTGGGGCCGTTTCCCTGCCCTCCGCTCTCCGGTAGCCGTTCATCACAGGCCAGACTGCGGCTCCGCTGTCGGGTGCTGTGTTGGGTCTTGTCTGACAGGCCATCAGCGACTTGTAGCCATCGGACCCTGTCCGCGTTTTGCTTTGAGATGTTCTTAGGGTGGCCCCAAGCCACATTTAGTGTAGGCGGGACATAGTCCCACCATGGGGCCACAGATTATTGCAGACATGTGTGAACTCCCTGGTGGGGCTGTGTCCTCTCATGCACACACAGGTCCCTCTGGGCCCAGACGTGGGAGCTCTCCAGGCCGCCCATCTTCACCAGCCCTCAGCCTGCCCACTGCCCAGGGCTCCCCTGGCTCTGGCCTGGGCCCTGTCCCGGGGTCTGCAGGTCTCTAGCACACACTGTCCTGCTTCTTACTTGTTTATGCCAGTGGGGGTGGGGGGCAGCAGCTCTGTGTGAAATGGCTCAGATTTGACGTGGCACCTGCATTCTTGTCCACCCCGGCGGCCCGGCCCCGCCCCGCCCAGCTTCGCGCACGTTGCCTCCCATCCCAAGCGTGCACAGAAGTGAGGGAGAGACCGGCATGCTGTGCTGGCCCAGGCAGCCGGATGCCTGATGTCCGTTCGCCCTGTTTGCACAGGGAAAGTGAAGAAGGAGCTGGATGCTGACGACAGCCACTTGAACTTGGATGAGACAGCGAAGCTCCTGCAGGATCTGCACGAGGCACAGGCAGAGCGTGGGGGCTCCCGGCCGTCCTCTAACCTCAGCTCTCTGTCCAATACCTCCCCCTCTGACAGGGACCAGCACCACCTGGGTAAGGTGGCCCTGGTCCCCAGCATCTGTCTTACTGTGCAGGTGCTGGGTGGCATCTGGGTAAAGGGCAGGAGCGCCGGCAGTCCTGGCACGTCGGAGCTGATGCAGGCTGCGTGTCCAGCCTCCAGGACTCCGAGGGCCCTGCTTCCTCTCCAGGACGCCCCCTGCCCCCTGGGGTTCCGAATAACCACTCCCTCGTCAGGCAGCTGCATGGGGGTGAAGTGTTTGAGTGGAATTTACTCCGTGTTAGGCATTGTGGGTCTTATCTGTAAGGTGCTGGCCTTCCCCGTGTCAGGAGCCACATCCCAAGGCCCTTGGACTGGGCAGAACGAGGCCCCAGATGCTGACAGGCATGTTGAATTCACCTTTGGGGATGTTTGTTTCTTCCTGCTGTTCCCGTTTTTAGTCCTGAAACAGGGTGTTGAGAAGTGCTTTGTTCTACCAGGACCCTGATTTGGGGAGAGCAGGTGACCTTCCTTGGCCTGGGGCCTTCTCTCTTTAATGAGTGACAGGGTGGGTAGGTGCATGGACCCCACCAGGATTTCGGCCCGTCCAGGAGGGGAACGAGATACTGCTCCCTGGCCTCTGGAATCTGCTCAGTGAGCTCCCCATGCCGTTCTTCCAGTCCCTGATCCCAGCAGTGACTCTGCAGGGCACCTCCTGACCTTGGGCAGTTGGGGGACGCTTAACAGCTATAGACGTTTGAGTCCCAGCCCGGGGAGGTGAGGGGGTGGCCTGGGCCCCAGGAGAATGAGTCACAAGGACGTGTTTCCAGCCGGGGCTGAAGCACAGCGTGTGTGCAGACCCGTCGTGTGAACGCCCCATCTTTCCCGCACTTGCAGGAAGTCCTCGCCTCAGTGTTGGGGAGCAGCCGGAGGTGACCCATGACCCGTACGAATTCCTTCAGTCTCCAGAGCCTGCAGCTTCTACGAAGAGCTAGCCTTGTAGTCTTCCATTATTTTTTAAATTTTTTTATCTGCACGTACAGAGTTTTTGTCTTGAGACAAAGACTTTCCTTTTGTCCCCTTTGGCGAGCGGGAAGCAGCCCCGGGGAGGTGGTGAGTTGTGTCTGATATCATGTCGGCCGTGCTCAGATCCAGCGTTTCTGTGCACAGCCCTGTGAATCCTGAATAGTGGAGATCACACAGAATGGTGTGTGGCCGATGCGGTCGAGCCGGTGTGTGTCTGAGCTTTGCGCTGTCTGTAAAGCCCATCCGCGCGGCTGGCCTGGACACACCTTCCTGCCCCAGCGCCCTTCCTGAGAGCCCCTTGGGAAGCAGACGTACCCATGGCAGGGTTCCTGCCTGTTCTCTGCCCTGCCTGCCCCCCACGCCCCTGCGTCTCCGAGGGAGGTCATGGGGGGCTGCACCCTCCTGGCCCGGGACAGGCTCCGTGCTCCTGTTTCCTGTGCTGGTCAAGGCCTGCCTTCTGCTGGAAGACCACATTGCCTCCCAGCCACGGCCACGTGCTGTGTCTGGAGACCTTTCTGTCCCAATGTGTTTACTGGATGCCTGTTTACATTTGCGAAACAGAGATCTCAATAAAAACACAGAGTGATTGCGTGTAATTGTTAGTAGCGCCGTAAGTATCCAGTTAGTGACCTTTTAGTGAAAACCTTTGTCAGGAGAGGTCGACGGCGTCCGTTCGTGATGCTCGCCATCTCCCCTCTCCTCTGCGTCTGGCCCAGGTCTCCCCCTGCAATGATGTCCGACTTGACTCACCCCACACAAGTTCTGCTTGTGTTCCTTTTTTAGAAAACAAAATTAGGGGCTGTTACGTCCTGGGGTGGAGTCAGTCCTGGGAGAGAGTGTGGACGTGAGGCAGTGGGCAGCGCGACGTGCCCCAGCCCACGAGGCCACTGCCTGCCGGGTGAGCAGGGCCCCTCGCGGACGTCAGTAAGAGGTCGCCCAACGTTGCACAAGCAAGGCCGTGAAGGCAGAGTGCCGGCAGAGGAGCAAGTCCCCTGGGAGGGTGAAGCCCACGGTCAGGCTGCAGACCTGCCCCCAGCGCCCCAGGTCTCTCTTTCCCACCGTGGCGTGGGGGTGCGCTCTGCCCCGCCCAGGGCTCCGAAGGTGAGGTTCTGGGCAGGGTGTGGCCCTGGGTTCTGGTGCTGAAGTGGCCTTGCTGAGCCCCCGTTTCTCCCTGGCCCTCAGCCGGAGTTCACAACCATGCCTCCGTGACAGGGACGTGGCACATGTTTGCAGGACCTGCTGAGACCGTATGAGCCGTGGAGCCCCAGACCCACCCCAAGGGAGTAGTCTCCAGCTCGAGGGCCCCACAGATGTGCCGGCAGCTGGAGGTGCCGCTCCTCACAAGCCTGTACTGCAGACGGGCAGATCGGGCTGGGCAGCTTGGAGACCCTGCTCTGGGCACGGCCTCTGCAGAGCCAGGGGCTGCTACTCAGAAGGCCACACGCCCGGCGGAAGGGAAGACCAGGGGGGCGTCTGAGGACAGGAGGGCCCTCCGACCGATCTTTTTATTTCAGTGAAGGTCACATGATCTGAAATTAACCACTGACTGCTTTAAAGTGTGCAACTGAGTGGCAATTGGTGCATTCACAGTTTTGTGCAACCAACACTTCTGTTGAGCTCCGGAATATTTCCATCACCCCGAAAGGAAACCCTGTCCCCATTAGCAGCGCCCTTCAGTCCCTCCTGGAGCCCCTGGTGACCACTCTGCTTTTGGCATCCATGGATCTTCCTGTTCTAGTGGAGTCTTACGCTACGTGGCCTTCTGTGTTTGGCTCCCTTCCCTCAGCACAGTGTTGATGTGTCAGTTTGGGCCCAGAGACCCCCTCCCCTTGCCACAGACCCCGTCTGGGCTCAGGCTGCTCCTGGGTATGTCACAGCCATGAAGCGGGTCCTGGGGCTTGGGTTACCTCACTGGGCCCTCTGCTCGAGGAGGCCGGCAGGATCCCGGTCAGAACCCACAGATGCTCTCGGCGGTCAGATAACTGAGCAGGTGCCCAAGGTAGGGGTGTCCCTCAGAGCCACGCGAGCCAGGCATTGGCCACAGACCGCACAGCAGGACCATGGCGCCTCGGCCACCATGTCAGCAGGACATGCCAGGGAGAGGGGCTGTCTGGGCCGACAGTGCTGGATGAGGGGGATTCATCTTCCTGCTCTCTTCCTGCTGGAAGCTACACTCGGAGCAAGACCAGCGCTCGGGAGTCCACGCACGTCAGCGTGTGTGCACGTGTGGGCTCCTATGTGCGTTTGTGTTCACGCACGTGGCGCGCCTGTGAGCGCGAGCATGCACGTTTAAGCCCGGGCACATGTGCGTGCATGTTCGTGTCAGTACCTGTGTGTAGATGTGTGCGTGTGAGGGCCTGCGCCCTGCCTGTCCTGCACTCCGCCTCGTTCCCCCACCTGCCCCGCGGTGTCGACCTTGCGGGGGTGGGCAGCTCAGCTGGGTGCACGGGGGGATTGCGGGCAGGCTCAGAGAAGCACCGCCCGTGATGAAGTTCGTGACTGACCTCGCTGTCAGGCAGGGTGATAATCGTCCTGGGGGGTGCTCCGCGCTCCATAAAAACTGTTGGCGCGGCTGCTGAGGGAACAAGAGTGGGTTGCGACGTGGGGGCCGATTGCACGCTTTCCCGTTTGACTTTCTGGGCACGCAGTTGTGCGTGGGGAAGGTTCTGGTTGCCCCGGGCAGGGGGCTTATGCATGCTCTGGTTTTATGTCTGTTTCTTAATAGGCCCTGATGTTTGTAGCTTCTAAAGTTATTTTCGTGGAGCGGAGGTGTCTCTGAGGGAAGGTCATTTCTCAAAGGCATGAGAGGCTCAGGTGGTTGTGGCTCTGGGTCCGCCGTCTGCAGATTTGGGGTGCCCTGGGGTAGTGCCTTGCCGGCCCCACTCCTCGGCGGCCTCCTCCAGGGTCTACTGTTGAGCTCACAGGCCCCCCCATGAGGCAGCCTGCGCGCAGGTGTATCTGGACAAGCATGTTCTGTGCAGGAGGCGGAGACGTTGCTCATCACTTTGAAGGTCTGTGAAGACACCTTCCAGCGTCTCGAGCGAGGCATCGCTGCGAACAGGGACCATGGCCTTGTTGCCAACGCTCGCACATGTTGTCCGAGACAAGGCCTTTCGAAGGTGAGCGCGCCCCTGCCTTTATGTTCAGCCCCCGCCGTCCACAGCCTCTGCTGTACCCGTGGCTGGGTTCTTGGGGCCCTGAGACCGTGGTCAGGCAGCCTGGTTGTCTGCCCTGGGTCTCTCTGGTGGCGCATTGGCCTGGCGGACAGTGGACGGTGGTGGCCGGCGGCCCAGCTGCAGAGTCTGTGGCTCCTACCTCACAGGGACACGGTTCCGGGTGAAGGTCAGCGCCCTGTGGTCCGCCGGCGCCAGCCCAGTCCTGCCCACGTGCAGGTGCTGGTGTGCAGGGTCCACAGGAGGTGGCCACTCTCCCCACTGCCTGGCTCCCCGGCCCCCAGCCCCCTCACTCCTTGGGGCCCCTCATCTGGGGCCCTGTCTCCTCCTGCCTACCTGTGGTCAGACCAGGCTGCCAGGATCAGCGTCCCCATCATCCCCATGGATGTTTTGCTCCTTGAGATCTCCTAGGACATGTTGGGCTGGAGGGACAACAGGCTGGGTGGAGCAGGACTGACCCAGACATGAAGACGGCCTCGGCACCAGCCACGTGGCCCAGCTCCCTGCCCAGCAGAGAGGTCCCCAGGCTCCCCAGGAGGGCTCTCTTGGCTGCTCCACACTGACCCCTGGCCCCTGCCCACTGGTTTCTCTTCATCCTGGGCCTGGCCCAGCTGCCTGGTCGGAGGCAGACCCCCTGGCCACCGCAGGGGCCATACACAGCCCACCCGGCTTGGGTGGCTTCCCCAGGGAGGCGTGTGTCCCCCACCAAGGAGGGGTCGGGATCTGAGAAGGCCATGTGGGGGTCCTTGGACCCACATGGGCCCCGGAAATGTCCTGCACTTGACAGTTGAGACCCTGAGGGGAGGGGAGAGGCAGGGAAAGGGGCTGCTGAGCCATCCTCAGGAGAGACCCCTTCCCGGCACACTGTCCACATGCGCTTCACCCCCGCCTCTTCTCCTGCCCTGGCCCTTCTGCGGCTCCTGAAGGGCAGACTCGGGACACTGCTGTCCCACCCGACCTGGACGGAGCACGCGAGCCTGGGTCCCCGGAGCAGACTTGGCCAACAGGTCAAGTGTCACGAGGAACCTTGAGATCGATGCCCTGGCCGCTGAAGCAGAGGTTGGGGGCCAGGAGCCTTCTGCTGGTTTGCCGAGGGGCTGCCGTGGGAGGTGGTGTAGTCGGAACTCGGGACCGTGTAGATGGACTCCGGCCTGGGGGTGCTGCCCACCAGCCCGGCCTGTCTGGGACCCCTGTGCCTTCTCTGCACCCCCCTCCCCCCAGCAGGCAGTGGGGGCTCAGGGGGGCCAGCCCTGGCTTTATGAGGCACGTCCTTGGGTTCTGTCACTGCCATGGCGACCAGGGGTCCTCACTTGGGTCTGGGTCCAGAGAGAGGCCCATGCCTTTCTGTCTAGCCTGGACCGGTGATCGGGTGGGGCAGACGGAGCAGGCGCTGGCTCCCGGGGAGGTGGGTGCCTTCTGCTTCTGCTGCGACCAGGGAACTCACAGGCGTAACCTCCGCGCATCCCAAGTGGGACAGAGCGCAAAACGGTGATTCAGAAGCTGTGAGGACCTGTGTCGGGCGACGGGGTTCTGGTCACGTGTGCGCAGTTGTGTCCTAGGTATGCAGGTGGGGGTGCCCAGGACTCCGGGCTCTTGGGAGCACGGTGGGACAGGCAGGAGGAGGAGGGACCGTCTACAGCTGCGCGGGGCCCAGATGGCCCCTGCACGAAGCTCCTGCCAGTTGGCCATGCTTGTGTTGGGGACGCGGAGGTGACAACGGCTCAAGGCAGCATCACAGCACCAGCTCACCTTGCACTGAAACAAGGGCTAGAACCCTCAGGGATGACAGAACACAAACGTCAGGGACCGAACTTGGGCTCAAAGGGGCCCCGGGCCCCACCAGGGCTGATCCCCCGAGCCCACTGCCTCGTCTGCCCAGTAGGGGATGACGATGCTCCCGTCCCGCAGACAGTCCAGAGGACCAGTTTCAGCAGTTACAGAAGGAGTAAATGAGGGCCCAGCCCAGACTGCACAGGGCTGTCAGGGAGGTCATCCAGAGAGATGACACGAGGACAGGCTCGAGGGGCAAGATGGCTGTTAGTGGGGGTGGGGGGACGCGGTTCCAGGCCAAGGAAATAGCCCAAGAAAGGTCGAGAATGAGAAATGAGTCCAGAAACCCTGTGTGCCTGGGATGTGCATCGTGTGGTGTGTGTGGTGTGTTATATGTGTGTTGCGTGTGGGGTGTGCGTGTCTGGGGAAGGTGGTGTCTCCACGGTGTCTCGTCCACACGCGGAGCGCGCATTAACTGTGCCCATTTCGCCCCAGGAGGAGACAGGAAGCACCACATTTGTTGGGAGCCTAGTGTTTGGGTGCGGGTTTTGAACTGATGGGATCCCCCAAGGGCTAAGGATCGAGCCAGAAGGTACGCGCTTGCCCTCCGGCCGAACTTCAGACCAGGTGAGGGGAACACGTGGTTTTGGTGAGTGGAGGTGTGGGAGCCAAGCGCCTGCCGTGGGGGGCGGCCCGGACGAGGCTGCCCCACTGCCACCCACATGTGCTCCCTCCAGGACCCCTCATCCGCCAGGGCCCGCGCAGCCGCGGAGCCCGCAGGGACGGACTTCCGCCGCGCCCGCCCCGCTGCTGCCCGTGCTGTGGGTAAGTGCGCCTCCCACTGCCGCTCGGACCACGGGCCTGGGGGGTGACCCACGTGCCGTCCTCATGCCTGAGCAAACGCGGCCCCTGCGGTAAGTAGGACGCGCTTGCCCACCATGGAGTTCTGCCCTTGGTGCCTCCCGACTTCTCAGGGCCACTTGCAGGTGCGACGCGGGGGAGCTTCCCGGAGCCCCCAGAGGAGCAGGGACTCGGTGTCCCCGCAGGCCTCGCCCTCGGCCCCCGCGCGCTCGTGACACCGGGGCTGTTTAGCTTCCAACTACTCTCAGAACCTGAAGAATCGCTCCTTTAAATTTTACAAACTCCGATGCCGGTTGAACTTTGGGGTTTCCACACATGATCACGGTGACCTCTCCGTCCTGGGAACCCCTGCAGGATGGGGTGCCACGCCCCTATCCTTGCCGGCACGGGCGGCCCTGGGGCTGACCCACGTCCTCACGTCTTGCTCCTCCACAAGATAAGTGGTCTCTCCCTCTGTTGTCCCGTCACTCAGGATTTCTTCCTCAGGGTCACTGCTTTGCCTCCCGCCCTGAGGTCCGCATGTGCCCCCGATCCGACCTTCCTGGGGGTTTGATTCTTGGCAGCGTCCTTCCTGTTGGTTCACGCTTCCATCAGAATGTTGCTTTTGCTCGGGAATCACGTTGTAATGCAGGGTGCTTTCCCTGCCCCAGTCCCCGCTGCGCTGGCCTTGCTGTCCATGGGGGATGCTCTCTGTGGGCCCCCAGGAGCCTCACTGACCAGGGAAGCCCTGCCTAGCCCCGCATCCCGAGAATGGAGCGGCCAGCCCGCAGAGAGCAGCCGAAATCTGCCCTCGTGGCAAAGTCCCCAGGACCCTCAGGCCTTCACCCGCCGTGGCTGTGATGTGTCGCTCACCCATTCCCTCAGCCCGCCACCTGGCCAGAAGTGGCCGTGGCTCCCTCCCAGCCCCTCACTTCAACACCGGTGACCCCAGAAGCCCCACAGCCCACAGGTCTTCATCCCATAGCAAGAACAGCACAACTCTCTGGGAATGTGGCATCAGTTCTGTCCTTAAGGGAAGATTGTAGGAAGATTCTCTGAGGATTTAAGGCACAGAAGAGCGTGGTCACACAGCGTGGGTCTGCTTTTCCTGCCAACTTTCCCTCATCCTGATGGGGGTCTTCCTCCTGCATGTGACAGGTTTTCTGATGAGTCAGTGCCCATTTGTAAACGAAGCCCGCACTCAACTGAGGTGGTCACGGCCATGCCTGTGCTGGGGTCCTGGCGGTGCCTCTCCTGGGTCCTCGGCCCTGTGGGCCTCACACCCTCCAAGAGTGTTGCATCGCTGCTGTGGCCTGGGCAGATGCAGGACTCCCCTGGACCCTGGAGGGTCCCCCCCGCCATCCGCCTCCAGAGCTGGGCAGCCCTGGGGTCCCCTTGCCATGCAGGCTGCAGGAGGGGTCCACACACAGCCTGTCCGCCCCCTCCCATCTTGCAGATGGATTTGTGCAGCAGAAGCTGGAGACGGGTCGTCCCAGAAGCTGGGGGCAAGTGGGCCTCGCCCCCCCGCCTGTCCCGAGTGAATGGCTGGTCGAGGCCCCTGCACTCCTTCCAGGCGGTGGCCTGGGTCACGCTCCTCATCATGGCCATTGCCACCTTCGGCATCTTCATTCCCTTCCTGCCGCGTAACTGGAAGTACATTGCCTACAGTGTATCCTTTACTGTGGGAGCAGGGCCTCCTGTCCGAGGGAGGCCCCCAGAGCTGGCCCGTCCCCCTTGCCACTCTGTCCCCTGCACCAAGTCACCCACAGGTGCAGCCCCTTGCCCTCTGACCCCCCTCCTCCTCTTCACCCCAAACACCCACCGTGGCCACAGCACCTCATCGATATCCTACATGTGTTCCTGTGTGGCTCACTGGCTCGGGGTCCTAGCTAAAAGCACGGACTTGCTCGCCATCAGTTCTGGGAGAATGCTCCTGGTGGCGAGGGGCAGAGGGACCCTGGGGTGGGGCGGAGAGCCCTGAGGACAGGAAGGAGTCACACGGCCAGGGCGGACATGCAGACAAACGGACACAGCCCCGCCACGGCCACACGTGTGGTCGCACATGCAGATGCTTGGGAAGAAGGGTTTCTTCCTCGCATTTGAGCAGCCCGTCTGGCTCAGAGGCTGAAGGGTGTGTCCCAGGGCCGTGCATGGTGTTTCATCTCAGGGTCTGTCCGCAGGTCCACAGTGGGCTGGATCCAGCTGGCCGGGGTGGGGGAGCCACACCAGGATCCAAGGGGGTGTGTTTAGAGGGAGACACTAATTATAACAGTGGCCCGTCTTCAGCCGCTTGTCCCCGCGCTTTCTTGTTTGGTCCCTCTTGCGACATAGGGTGGGTGGTGGCCGGACCTGGCAGAGAGCACGAGCCTGCCAGCCGCTAGGACCCCTGAAGAGTAGCTCCAGGTGGGCAGACGCTGGGGACGTGGATGCACATGGGGCTGTCACGCAGGCTCCACGGTGCTGGGCCCCGCCCCCCGCCACACGGGCATCGCCCGCCTTGGTCCTTCCTCACGCCTTACCCTGTGGGTGGCAGATCCAGTTCCACCGGTGCACCCTTGTCTAGGGGCCACGCTGGTGGACTCCACCAGTGAGCCTCGGCATCCACCGTGGCCTGACGTGCAAGCCCGCCTCCTCCCCAGCACCACGCGGCCCCGACCTGGCTGGCCTGCCCCTGCGGGGCCCGCAGAGTGCCTGGTCCACAGGAGCGGCGCCGGGGAACGTGGGTCCCGTGTGCCCTGGGCACGGCCACCCCACCTCCAGGCCTCCGGTGTGGGGGGGGCGTGAGGTGGGGCCCAGGTATTTGTGTCTTTCACAACCAGCAAGATGGGCAGAGACCGTACCATCTCACAGCCAGCTCATCTTAAAATTTCTCCAGGGGTCCTCAAAACATGCTTCGCCAGGGGTTTTTAACCCAGAATCCAGTCACAGTTCACACTGGACATGCGGTGATGGGTCTCCTGTCTCGGGCCCCGCACAGCGTGCACCGGCGCCCTGCCCCGCGGGTGGGCGCCCTCCCCACGGCTGGGGCAGCCTGCAGCTGGGCCTGGCCCTCCCCGTCGGAGTCACCCTCTCGCTGGGGCTTGTGAAACAGTGTCACTCCGACCGCGAGCTCAGCTCACGCTCTCGTGCAGGAGACCCACCGCCCGCAAGCTAGCGGCGGAGGGAACGGAGCCCCGGACGCCCACAGGTGTGGCCGGGCTCTCCTGCCTCCCGCTGCCCCTCCTCATCTGTATCCTGATCCTGACTGTGGGTTTGCTCACCTGCTGGGTTAAAATCCTCATCTTCATTGTCCCTTGACCAAAAATCCTCATCTTCATTGTCCCTTGACCATAGCTCAGCCTGTTTGGGGCCTTTTTGAGCTGCCCGTGTTCTTTGTCCAGGGGGCCCCCGGGGGACTCACCTGCTTTCGGGCCCAGAGGGGGCTTGGGCCTGGGGCCCAGTCTGCGCTGCCCCCGGCGCCAGCCCCCAGTGAGGGATTCTGGCCTGCTTGACAGGCGTCCAGGACTCAGGCTGCCCTGGGACAGGGTCTCTCTCTGCCCAGCACCCCATGGGGCAGGCGACGTCCCTCAGGCCCCTGCAGCCGCCTGGGCGCTGTGCTCTGGCCGCTGGGGGGCGCCGGTGTCCTTCGGTGCCTGCAGGGGTGGGCTGGGGCCCCAAGGAGGTGGGCTGGGCCGGGTTGCAGCCTCTGGAAGCCTCAGCAGGGGAGGCAGACCCTCGGGTTCTTGGCTGACCCTCTGGGTCTGAGCTTCCCCCGCCATCCTGCAAAGGGAAGCAGCTCGGTCCCTGTTCCGTAGGGTCCACGGTGCAGAGGGGCTGGCGTCTGATGGGACGTGACTTAGTCTGAGGGCCGGTGGTGTGGCTGGGCCGAGAAGCCCCCGGGGAGCTGCCGGGACCCTGCTGCTGACCTCCGGCTCTGACCCCAGCTCTGGCGTGAGGCAGACGTGCCTGGGGCAGTGGGGGCTCTGGGGGCGCCTCACCTCTTCCTGCTGCAGAACCGGAAGGACGGGAGGGCCTGTGTCCTGGGCTGAGCCCGCGCCTGTTTACCAAACACAGATTGTTGCTAGGGGACCGTGGCCTCTGGGGCAGGGCCTCCTGCTTACTGAGGGAGACCTCCTACCCCCTTCCTTTTGCTTTTTGTTATTCACGGGAAACTGAGACACTCTTATGAGAAGATGGCACTTGAAAGTGAGAGCGGGAACCCACCCACCCTGTGACACTTTCGGGGCTCAGCCCATGCTCACTGACATCTAGAACGTGGGGCTGACCCAGTAATGGCCAGGCAGAATGGGGCGCCTTTTGCTGGTCCATATCATTCCTGTGGGTGACCTGGGGTCACCTTCTTGAGTGCTGGGCGGCGTTAGGTCAGACAAGCGGGTGGGCTGTGTTCTTGCTTGGGCAGCTTCATGCTCGAGGAGACTGTCGGGGGACTTGACCTACAGCATGGGGGCGCTGGAAGCCACACCCCTTTGTTCCTGGGGGACAGGTTCTGGGGGCGGCCTGGCGAGGGCACCTGCAGGGCTCAGACATCCGGAGGGATCGGCGGCAGGCAGCTCTGTGTGGCTGGCCCAGCGGCTCAGGTCAGGTGCCTCAGGCGCCTGCACTTTGAGGGTCAGAGTGTGGGCCGAGCTGTCCCCACACTGTGTCCCGGGCGGTGGTCTCGTGCGAGCCGAGTGTAGCCATGGGGGCAGAGGGCTTTGAGCACACATCCCAGCCCGGGCCTTACCTGCTGCCGTCCCGTGCTCCCTCCTGGGCACCTTGCCCGCCCATTTCTGAGGCAGGCAGAGGAAGGGGCCGCACCTGGGCCACAGCGGACTTCCTGCTGCATCGTCTGTCCTGCGGCTCAGGACGGGCTCCTGTTGCCCCGGTAACCACACAAACACAGCTCTAGGGAGCAGGTGCAGAGGGACGGGCAAGCCAGCACCATGCCGGTGTCTCCAGCTGTGACCGTGAAGCCCGGCCCAGCCCCTGACCACCCGCCAGCTGCCCACACCATGCATGGAACAGGGCCATGGTCTGCTCAGCAGTGGAGTAGGGGAGGCTCACGCCCTAGCCAGCCCTGCAGGGTCTGGTGGCCACACGCAGGGCCTTGGTATCTCTGCACCCCCTCCATGGCCCTGAGGGATCTGGTCAGTCCCTTCCTCCTGCAGGTCTCCCAGGGCCTGGCTTGTTCTCAGCTGCCCCTCCAGCTGCCCCTGGCCTGGGCACCAGCCTCCCGGTCTGTCTTGGCCCTCAGCTCACTCTTGCCCACCCTCCTGACAGCCACGCTCCCCCAGCAGGGCTGGCTCCTGTCGCCTCTGTGCCCACGTCTGGCACCCAGAGCCCTGCGTCTATACTGGTGCCTGGAGGCTAGAGGATGAGGGGCCATGAGCAGGTCTGGCCAGAAGCACTCAGGCTTGTTGTGCAGTGGCCTTCACGGAGGCAGGCCCATGTGGAGGCCGAGCGCTGTTGCCTGGTGGGCGACAGACCCTGGACCACAACAGTGGTGGAGCTTGAGAAGGACCCCACGGGGGCTGCCCGCAGAATGGAGCTATGACCCCAGCCCCTGCTCAGAGCCTGCAACCCCCTAAAATCACGGCAGAGCGTTGTGCACATGGCCGGTCATTTCCCCCACCACACCCTGGAGCCCGGCCTGTAACCCTGAGCCCTCCTGCTCGGAGCCAGTCTGGGGAAGCAGGGCAGGGCTGACAGGGAGGCGGCCTCCACCTCTTCTGTTTGGTTTCCATGGGGACGGTGTGTTGGTCCCGAGGTGGAGGAGGAGGAGAGGGTGAGATCGCAGGGCCTGGTTTTACCCTGGATGCCATGGAGGGCGTGGGTGCTGGAGAGCCGGAGGGGCCGGGGGCGGGGAAGACAAGACGAGACGGAGGCGCCCCATAGAGACTGCGTGTGGGCCCTTCCTCCCCACCTTCGTTTCTTGATGACACGCCTGCCTCCTAACCCCACACCTGCTCTTGGAGTTGCCCGAAGAACCCCCACACCTCCTTCGGCACCCAGCATGGTGCCCACCCCCTGCTGACCCTCAGGCCCCCTGCAGGCACCTCCAGGGCCCTGCTTCCAGCGGGAAAGCCTATCTCCGGTGGGAGCGAGCGTCGTCTTTCGTGGAGGAAGGACGGGGGGCACGCTCTGTCGGCCACAGGGGTGTGAGCGGACCGTCCTGGGACTCGGCCCTTGGCCAGGCGCCGCTCCCGTGGCCCCCTGAGTGGGCACCCTCGCTGTATTGTCGATGCCCGGCTGCATGTTCCTTGACGCCCCTTTCCCAGGTGAACGGCGGGCTCTTCTTTCTCCACTTCCTAGTCCACTTGATTGCAGTTTCCATCGACCCGGCTGAAGCCAACGTGAGGCTCAAGAAGAACTACTCCAAGCCGTTGCCGACCTTCGACCGGTCCAGACATGCACACGTGATCCAGAACCAGTATTGCCACCTGTGTGAGGTCACTGTGTGAGTGCCCGGGTGTGCGGGCAGGCGGTACCTTGGCCTCCCGTCGGCTGGCTGGCACTGCGCTCCTTGGATAAGGAGCCGTGGGCCTCAGACGCACGGGGCCCCCCCGCTCCACACGCCCCTATCAGACCTCTGCCCAGGCTGGTCGCGGCTTCTGTGGGCGGCCTGGGAGGGAGGCCCGTGGCTCAGGGTAGGATCTGAGCCCAGCTTCCCAGCTCGATCCTTGGCATCATGTGGCAGGCATGGCCAGGGAGGCCACCCCACCTAGGGCCTGGTCCTCCCGGCTGCCCGCCTCCCCCCCACAGGCGGGCGGGGGCTTCGACCCTGTCGTCCTCCTGCACACGCTGCCAACAGGCTGGTGGTCCTCAACTCTCCCTTCCCTTCCAGGAGCTCGAAGGCCAAACACTGTAGCGCCTGCAACAAGTGTGTCTCTGGCTTTGACCACCACTGCAAATGGCTCAACAACTGTGTGGGGAGCAGGAATTATTGGTGAGGGGGGCAGGAGGGAGCTGGGGGGAGGGGAGACCCAGCTGTGGGGGAGGGGAGAGCCAGGTGTGGGAGCAGGAATTACTGGTGAGGGGGAAGCTGGGGGGGAGGGGAGAGCCAGGTGTGGGGGCAGGGTGAGGAGTCCAGGGCCCCAAGAGAGGGCTTCTGCAGGCTGGGGGCCTCATGGGTGAGGGGGTGAGGGCCATGGCAGTGGGGGGTCATGTGCTGTCCTCTGTCCTCGTGTGGTCTGGAGTCACCCCTGGATGTGTGAGGTCCAACCCGTGGGAAGGGGCACGGGCTGAGCTGCCTCGTCCTTGACCCGCTGGCCTGGGCCCGGCCACATTCTCCCAGTGAGGCTGTCCGAGCTCAGAGGATGGGGGCCCAGGCTGCACTGGGAGCGAGCGTCCAGGCCTGGACGGACTCAGGTGCAGGGCCCCTGAGCATCGCCAGGACCCCACGGGCTGGGGCCTGGGCTCTGAGTGGCCGGGAGGGGCAGCAGAGCTCCCTGCACTCATTCGCACTGGCCCGCGCTGGCTGGTGACATGGCCGCCAAGGGGCTCCCCTGCTTCCCCACCATCCCGTGGCAGACGTGCCACGTGCACCCAGTCCTGGAGCTGGAAGACCACGTGAGAAATGCGCGGCTGGCTCAGGCCTGAAGAGGATCGCTGCTTTGAGCAGAAGGAAATACAAAGCTCTCATGATTAGAAAAACCCAATCAGCACTGGGGGACTGGGGGTGCCTGGGAGCCCCCGTCCCACCTCCTCCCTACAGAAGAGAAGCCCTGGGCTAGCGAGGGTGGGGCGGGCCGCCTCCTCACACTAGCAGGGCTCTCTTCTCCTCTGGACGCACCTCCTCAAGGCCTTGCTGCTGCGAGCTGGTCACCTTGAGGCCCAGTCAGCCGTCGGGGGACAGGGGAGGCCCTGCAGGACTGAGTGGGCCAGGCCCCACGGGGCACGCAGGGTGGAACTCAGAGGGCCTGACGGGGCTCCAGGCACAGCAGGCTGAGGGGGTTCCCAGCAGGGCGAGAAGCCCCTCGACCGCGGGTGAGCCCCAGCAGCCGTCCTGGCAGCCACTGTGCAGGGTCAGCAGGAGGGAGCAGGAGCCTGGCACACAGCAAGGTGGGGGCTGTGTTCCTCAAAAGGAGCACGCAGAGGTGAGGCAGGGGTCAGGGTGAGCACAGGGCCGCCGTCTGTGTGCATCTGCCCCAGATTCCCTCTTGTCCCTTCGACCATCCAGCAGAAAAAGCAAGAGGGAGTGACTGCCTTTAAAAGACGGTTTGTCCAAAAAAGTGGGCAAAGCCTGACAAGCCAGCGAGCCAGGTCTTCACAGAGAAAGAGCTGGATTAGGTGCTGAGGTGCCCCAGATGCAGGAATCAGGGAAGGAAGCAATGCTTCATGTCCTGAACGTCGGTTGGACAGGCTTTGGCCCCCACCCCATTGGGAACGCTGCCTCTTGCCAGGTGACAGCAGGACAGGACGGCCGAGGGGCTTCCAGCCTGGAGGGGCTCCCTGGGGACCAGAGCTAGGTGTGGGGCCAGGCCTGTGCCCCCTGCAGCTTGGGGACACACAGGAGGCTGGGCCTGTGTAGGATTGCGCAGGAGACGCACCTCGGGGGGCTTAGTGAGGGGCCACGATGCAACGGCCCTCGAGCCAGCAGCTCCCCAGGACCCCAGGGCCATGCTCCACATGCACCCGACCCTTTGGGAATGCTCACGTTTTAGCTCTCCACCTAAAGATGTGTGTAAAGAACCCTCAGGAAGTTCTGGAAAAGCATCATGGAATCAACTGAATTCCAGCCGAAGAAAACACGTTGAGATTGAAACTGTTGAAGGAGTGGCTTCCTTCAACGTCACAACAGCAGAAAGCCTGGAGGAAGACCATGCCGTGGGAGCATATTCCAAGAATTGCCGACCACAGTTTATTTTCTGGATGGATGGATCATTCTCTGGGTCTTCTGAGCCAGGCAAGGGGGCAGGAGTGATTTTGGTCTAATGCCAAAGCACAAGATGTCAATTGTGCCCAAAAGTGTGCCTGGCCCCAGGGAGGGTGTGTGGAGATGGCCCACTGTGAGCTGTACCCGGCCAGGCACCTGTCATGGTGCCCCCTGGCCTCCCCGACCCAACCTGGCTCCAGTGCCCTTGATGCAGGGACAGCACCAGGACCCCCACCACGAGGAGGAACCGCCAAGTGCTCTTCCAGAGGGACTAGGCTTTGAGCTGGAACTGTCTTGCCTGCTCTCCATCCTGTCTACACTGCTGCACGCACACCCTGAAGTTTTCCTGAATGAGGAGACAAACGTGTTTTCCTTGGCCACTCAGAGCAAACGGTAGAATACAAGAAAATGCTTTCAAGCGTAAAAAGTACCTCAAACGATCTGCAGATAATACTGGGGTTACTTGCTCTCCCAGCTTTTGAAGTAGCAAATCCGTTACGCCATAGTTAGGATACAAACAGAACAATAGAAAGAGTGAAATTAATTAAAAAAAAACAAAACCATCCAATTCTGTGACCGGGCGGGAGCCCCCGGTGAGCAGCGGCCAGTATGTGGGGGATCCGTGCCCGCCCGCCCCACGTGGCCCAGAGCCTCTGCGTCCCTCCCTGTGAGCCAGGTGACCCCTCCTCACTCCTTGTGGGGGTTGAAGGGGAGCACGTCTGTAAGCCATGAGGCACAGAAGACGGAGGTGCCGTCAGGACGGCCGCAAACCAGCAGCGTCCCCTGGAGTGCTCCAGAGAGCCTCGAGGGACAGGAGACGGAAGAAGGCTGGGTCTTGGGTTCGGGGCCGGGGACACCCTGCGCGGGTTGCCGCACTTCGGGGCTGTGGGTCAGCCGGCCCTGAGCCCCGCTTATCTCTGCCTCTCCCGCAGGTACTTCTTCCTCTCCGTGGCCTCCGCCTCGGCCGGCCTGCTCTGCCTGATCATCATCCTGCTCTACATCTTCATCCAGTTCTTCATCGACCAGGAGGAGCTCCGCACGCACCCCTACTACGAAAGTACATGTGGCTCCTCTGTGGCCTTGTTTCCCCTTGGGTCGCTCGCAGGTGTTAGCCTGTCCTTCCAGCCACCTCGGCGGTCAAGCCTTCCTTCTGGGGGGCGCCAGCCTGGCCTGCCCCCGGCTGGGCGAGCGGCGTGGCTGGGCAGCAGCAGGTTCAGGGCCCGCGGGTGCTGGCTGCTCAGAGACCGTGCTCCCAGGTAGTGCCAGGCGTTGGAGGGGGCCCTCCGCCCCATCACCCTGCAGCTGGTCTGGGTGGGGAACAGGGACGGGTGGGAGGACAGGGCTGCCTGGGGGCGGGTTCTGGCTGATGTGTGGCTGCAGGTCTCTGCTAAGTGGTGCTGGAGCCTGGCCTTGGGAACAGATGTGGGATTGGATGGGGCCTCAAAGTTATGTCCATGATCTCACCCTTGGACCTGGGACTGTGACCTTATTTGGGGAAAGGGTCTTTACAGATGTGATTAAGGATCCTGAAATGATCATAGGTTACCCGGGAGTGTGTGTGGAGGGGTGCTGGGTCCGTTGAGAATATCTGTATAAGAGACTGGAGGGACACGGCCACAGCCCAGGGGTGCCTGGAGGCCCAGGAGCTGGAAGATTGAGGACAGATCCTCCCCTACAGCCGTGGAGGGAGCTGGCCCTGCTACACCCTGACTTCCAGTCTCCATGTCTGTTGTTTAAACTGCCCAGTCTGTGGCCATCGGTCACAGCAGCCCCAGACACTGATGCAAGGAGGACTCCCGGGGACCGCCTCCTTTGTCTGTCCTGAGTGCCCAGGGACCTCAGCCCTTAGGGTGCAGAGCAAGGCTGCCTTTCTCAGCCCAGGCCTCTCTCCAGAGCACATCATAGAGCAGGAAAACAGAGGACCTTGTCGCTCAGCTCAGAATGTTCCAGGGACCCGCACTCGGCCCAGGCTCCAACATCGCTGTAAGGCCCAGCATCGGGCTCCAAAGCGGGTATGGACAGTGCCCTCCTCCCAGGAAAGTGAGCAGCCCGCAGAGCCAGTGATGATCTGCTGGTGGGACCAAGCCCCCACGCCTCCCTTCTCCGGAGCCTGCACCATTGGAGGGGTCCCGCTGCCTTGCAGCCTCTTCCTGGGGGGGCTGTGCCCTGTGCACCTTCACCCCGAGGCCCGCACAGCACGTTGTGGCATGGACTTTCTGACCTGCATCTGCTCCGAAATGCATTGGGTTATTTCTACGGTAAAAGGGAACAACAGGGGTCTCGTTGAGGCCAGGCCCCACTCAGAGGATGTGCACACAGCCAGCTGGAGGCCTCTGCCTGCCACCCCTCCTGACAGTCTCCACATGCAGCCTGAGCCAGAGGGCTAGCCGGAGCCGGAGCCTCCAGCACAGTCAAGGTGGGCACTGGGGCTTCCACGTGTAGGCCCGCCCCACCACGTGGCTTCTCAATGCCCCTACACACTGCATCTGGTGAGCGGCGACCTCAGCACACCCCAGTGCCCAGAGCAGCACCTCTGCGCGTTTCCTGATGGCCTCCCGACACGGGCGTTAGCTGGGCCGGCACTGCTGTGTGCTGTGAGGACATGGGGCAGGGTGACCCTGGCCTCTCTCTGGGACTTGCAGGCTCTGGAACCACAGTGGGACCAGCTATATGTGAATGCCTGAAGACTGAGGCAATATCCTGGGTTTGCTGTTCCAGAAAATTCCACGGGGCTGCTTAACCACAACTCCCTGGGACACTTTGCTGTCATTGGTGGGAACTCATTGAAGCATCACCAGCTAAAGGGACAAGCGTGCGATCCAGCCAGCCCCACGCACACACGCGGCCACACAACACAGTGGGCCCGGCAGCCACCGTTCGGGGCGTCACATAAGGGACTGGAGTCAGGGCATTTCAGACGGAATTCTACCTCATGGGCCTGCCTGCAGATTCATCAGTGCTCTTCTTACACTTAAGTTTGGGGCACAGAGGACCATGTTCTGGAATTGCCCCGAGGCACTGGCTACAGCCTTCTGGTCCTCTGTGACAGTGGCTGGTTGAGAATGGGGAAGGTCCAGCAAGGACCAGCGAGGACCTGGCTGACGGGCAGGGTGGGTGTTGGGGCCAGGCAGGGGTCCAGGCTCTGGGACCTGGACACTTAGTTAACTTCCTCCAGCCCCATAAAGTGGGATTGTCAGGGGGCTGCAAGGGCACTTAGGTAGGGCAGGGCACACACCTGGGCAAGGAAGAAGAGCTCCCTTGGGCTGGTTTCCTTCTCCCACCACCGAGCTCTGTCTCCCGAGGAGAGGTGCAGCCATGCCCCAGGTGCTGGACATGGTGCATGTCTCCCTTGCTTCCACAGAGGTCTCCAACAAGAACACTTGGATGCTCTTCCTCCCCCTTTTCCCTGTAAAGGCAAAGACCCTAGTGGTCCTGGGCATTGGGGTGTTCGTGCTGCTGTTGGACATCGTCAGCCTCCTGCTGCTTGGGCACCTGCTTATCTTCCACCTCTACCTAAGTATGTGTCCCAGCCCCTTGAGTTCACATGTGTCCCAAGGCAGAAGACTGCTCAGCTGGCCCCTGCCAGAGTGAGCACAAAAGACAAATCACAGGATGGGAAGAGACACTCCTTGAGGGACAGCAGGGCTCGTTCTGTTCTGAGGCCTGCAGAGACCATGAGAGGGGTTTTCAGAGCAAGTTAGAATGTTCAGAGATAAAGGAGCAGAATCTGAGGCAGGAACAGGGCACCTTGCAAAAAGAACAGGGGATTTGGAAAAGCACCACATCCTAACAATGAGAAACAGTCAACCAGTGGCAGGGTATCTGCTAACCACACTCACCGCAGGGAGCCTGGTTTTCTGGTGTCCACACAGCAGTGGCGTTGCAGGCTCCACTGCTCCCTGGCACGGGGGGTGAGGGCAGGACTTCAGCACCCCATGAAGCCCTTCCTTGAATGTACCTTACTCCATGTGGCCTCTGTGTGGGAGAGGGCAGCACTAGTGGGCTCTATGTGGCTGCTGGGCTGGTCTGTGCAGGCAGTGTCCTCATGTCCTCTGTGGAGCCAGGGCCAGATCGGCCCAGGCCCTTCCTAAAGCTTCTGCACACTGGCCGAGGGGGACAGGGCTACATTTGGGGACAGTGTCCCAGTCACAGCATTCATGATAGCCAGCAGGTGGCAAGTTGGGCAGGTCCAGAAGCCTGCTGCAGCCACTCAGGATGGTCGGATGCAAGACTGGAGAACAAGTCCACGGGACTCACGGCTACCTGGAGATCTGAGGAGAGGGACCAAAGGGCCCCAACTCAGGCACCCGGGAGGGTAGTGGTGCCATGGTCACTGTGGGGATATGCACAGGAGACCCCTGGAAGGGAGAAGCACACCGAGCTTAGGGCTCAAGGTGTCGCTTATAGGGGATTTGGACATCAAAGAACAGACTTCTAGAACAAAGTTGGGATATTAGCTCTTGTTAGTTAGAGTAAAATTCCCCTAAAATGTAGCTGCTTGAAACAACAGAGTTAGTGCCTTGCAGTTTCTGTGGGTCCCCCGGCCCTGCTCTTCCATCAGGTGCCAGGAGGGGCCGCCGTCTCATCCGATAGGGGAGGATCCACTTCTAGGCTCATCACCAGAGCAGTGGCAGGTCAGTTCCTGACCTCAGTTCCTTGTGAGTTGGTGGCCAGTGTCTCCTGCCGCTCCTTGTCATGCGGATGCTCCAACACAGAGCATCTTAGCATCTTTCAATGGGGCAGCTGGCTTCAGCTGAGCAGACAAGAGAGAGGCAAGAGAGGGAGCAAGACAGAGCCAGCCTTTTGTAACCCAGTCATGGAAGTGATGCCCCATCACCTCTTCTGCAAGGCACTGGGGTCAGCCTGCTCTCTAGGGGATGGGACTACATGAATGCCCTGACGTGGGGGGACTGCTGGGGGACACATCAGAAACTGCCAGCCACTGGATGCTTCATTCCGAAGCTTGGGAAAAGGACACCCAGACGAGTCTGCAGCACATGAGTAGGAGTGGGAACGTTGGTGAGCGCCAGATCTCCCGGGAAGACATGCAGATGTGGGAGTGCCAGCAGCAGGGGTGTGGGGAAAGCCACCTTCACACAAGCGGGAGAGAGAACATCCCAAAGGGCAGTGGCCCCGAGCTCCTGTGTTAGAGCTGCTAAGGCTGGAGGGAACACGGTGGACCCTCCCTCAGTGCACACTGTGCTCTGGCTCAACCGCATCTCCTCTTGTTACCGTCAGATGATGAGTGTGAGCTCTGGGAAACGCACAGTTTGCTTACCGTCTGATGGTAACGGTAGCTGTGCAAATCCATGCAAAAGAGTGAGTGTTTTCACTAGCATGTAACCAAGTGCAAGTTTATACCCTCCAACAGATACAGATTCTGAGGGAGTGTGAAGAATGCAGTAAGAACCAGGTGGAGTTAATTGAGAAAGAGAAGCCAAAGCAAACAAAAACAAAAGCGCTTGTACAAACCACCCAGGGAAGGGGATGGGCTGCGTTCTGCAGGAGCTCACTCCACCTGGGAAGAAGCCTCTGAGGGCTCCACGGGGGTGTGTGGAGTGCCCCCCCCCCCTCCGTCTGCTCCTCGAACTGCAAATAGGCTTCTGTGGGTGGCCTTCTCACTTTCCAGAAATAATTAGAAGCCATCTGTCCTCATGTTTGTTAGTTTTAGGAAAAGAGAAATGGGAAGTTGGGCGCCTCCACTGAAGCACATGGCTGAAACAGGCACAGAACCCATTTCATGAATAGTGCTGTCCACTGAGAGGTCTCAGATGCTCTTTCAGTGACCTGGGGTGCTGCTACCACGATGCTGGAGCCAGTGGCTCAGCCCAGCTGAGCTGGGCACAGCCTTCAGTGTAGGTCCATGTTGACTTTGCAGGCCTGGGAGGCAGGCAGGGGTGGGGGGCCTCAGGCCTTGGGGGTGTGAGGAGCTGCTGTCTGCTACCCACAGGCCAGATGGGCTCTGGTGTGGCCATCAGCAGCGCCCCAGTGCTCCAGGTTAGGAAGCAGCTCCCAGCACCCTGAGGGGAGCTCTGGAAGGCCGGGTTGTGGCACGCAGGCCGCTCTGCTTGCGTAATTGATTGTTTCCTCCTCTCTCCTGTCTAGTGGCCAAGAAGTTGAGCACATTTGATTACATGACACAGGGCCGCCAGCAACAGACTCCAAAAGCTTCAGCAGAAAAGGAAGAGCTGTCCTTCCAAATAGAATTCCCACAGGTACCAGGTGTCCCTCTGCTTCACCATTCATATTATCTAGGCCTGGGACAATGCCCAGGGTCACCTTGCATCTGGGACTTCTCAACCACAATCCTTTGTTTCTATGTTGGCACAGTCCTCTGAGTCTGTGTCTGTGTGTATATGTGAGTCTGCATGGTGTGAGATGCAGTGCATGTGTGGTTGTGTGTGTATGTGTGTTTGGAATGATGCAGTGCATGCTTGTGTGTGTGACTGTATGAGTGTGCATGATGTGTGTGATTCAGTGCATGTGTGTGTGGTTGTGTGTGCATATGTGTGTGATGCAGTATGTGTATATGTGTTGTGTGTGATGCAGTATGTGCATTGCGTGGTGTGTACAATGCAGTGCATGTGTGTGTTTGTTGTGTGCTGTGCATGTGTGTTATATCATTTCTACATTCACTATCTATAAAATCAAGCCAGCGGGGCTGACTCCTTTTAGGCCCACATATTTCCACAGCTGCTTCTCATCAAAATTAAAAACATTTGCTTTTCAAAAGGTCACCATTAAGAAAATGAAAATATAAGCCACAGGCATAAATGAAATAAATCATACACTTGTGTCCAGAAAATATAAAGAACTTTCAAAATTCAATTATAAGAAAATGACCCAGTGCTTTAATTTTTTTTTTTTTTAAGATTTTATTTATTTGACAGAGAGAGAGATACAGTGAGAGAGGGAACACAAGCAGGAGGAGAGGGAGAGGGAGAAGCAGGCTTCCCGTGGAGCAGGGAGCCCGATGCGGGGCTCGATCCCAGGACCCTGGGACCATGACCTGAGCCGAAGGCAGACACTTAACGACTGAGCCACCCAGGTGCCCCAAAGTGCTTTAATTTTTTAAATGGGCAAAAGATTTGAACCAACTATTCTCCAAGGAGGGTCTGCGGGTGGCAAATAAGCACACAAAAGATGGTCAACGTCATTTACCATTAAGAAAACACAAAACCACAGTAAGATACCATTACACACCCACTGGAATGCCTGTAATCAGAAGGATGAACAGTAACAAGTGTTGGTGAAGCTGTAGAGATAGAAGTCTCATACGTTGCTATTGGGGAGATCCAATTAGATCACTTTGATAAGAAGTTTGGCATTTTCTTAGAAAGTAAAATCTAGGGATGCCCGGGTGGCTCAGTCGGTTAAGCAGTGGCCTTCGGCTCAGGTCACAATCCCAGGGTCCTGGGATGGAGCTCCTCATCAGGCTTCCTGCTCGTAGGGGAGCCTGCTTCTCCCTCTCCCTCTGTCACTCCCCCTGCTTGTGCTCTCTCTCTGTCAAATAAATAAATAAAACCTTTTTTAAAAAGTAAAATCTATACTGGCCATTTAAGTGGGCAATCCCACTCCCAGTTTCTTACCTAATAGAAGTGAAAACACGGGTATTCCTGTAACAAGGGTGCTATCCCCCAGTGAGATCATTTCCCAGGACCCAGGAGACTCTGAGGTACCATTACTCAAAATTAATAACTGACTTGAATTTTGTATAATAAGTTCACTGTCAACAGTTTTTTCACTTTATGAATTTTTATCGCCCACAGCAAGCAGGTGATGACCAGAGTTCATCTGTACACAGGTAAGTTTGTAAGCTTACTGGAGTTGTTTTATCTGTTTGAAAAATACTCTACGCCCTTAAGAGTTTTGCTTTAAAAAGTCTTCTTTACTCCAAGGTTATACAGATATCCTCCATATTCCTCGCTAATATTTTCATCGTTTTTATTCACGTTCTTTGTATTTTGGTTTCCAAGCTATCCTGAATTGTTTTGCGTTCACGAAGAAGGGCTTAATTACCGTAGCCAGCTCCCAGGGCAGGGTGCGCCCTGCTCCCCTGGGAGACCCTCTTCCGGGCGCGCCCGCCCTGAACGTCCGGCAGGTGAAACACCCGCCTTGGCATTTTTAAATTTTTCATTGCTCTTGACAATTCTTTCACGTTTTTATCTTTCCACGTAAGCTCTAAAATCCTCTCGTGCGGTTCCCAGACACGCAGCGCTCGCAGTGGAGTTGCATTAGACGTTCCCCTGACAGGGGAGGGAGCGAGGCCGCGGGTCCCAGCCCCCCGCCCGAACCGCCCCGGAAGTCGGTCTCCCCCGGGGAGCGGGCCGGAAGTGCCGCCGCTCGCTCCGAGGGGCGCGCGGAGCTGGGCCTGCGCGGAAAGCTGGGCGGCGCGGCTGTCGCCTTCGGGCGGGGCGGGGCGAGGCGGGGCGGGGCGGGGCGGGGCGAACGGACCGCGCCCGCTCGCGCGACCGGCTGTCTGCGGGGAAGGAGCGTTCGCTCCACATCCCCCGCTGCTTCCTTCGACGCCGGGTAGCGATGCTGCTGTGAAAACGCGGGTCCTTTGGGGTTTCACTGGAAGCATCGCCTCGCTGGGGTCCTTCACGGACAACCTGAGCGCATTCCCTCGCCCTGTCCAGCTGGGTGCGAGCCGCCTGCGGAAAGAGCCGAGACTCAACCCGGTTTCGGACGGTCGGTGCAGACGCAGCGCACGGCCTGGGGACCCGCAGAAGTCGGGGTGCGCGCGCCGCGCAGGGGCCCGGGGCCCCGCAGAGGTCCCGGGGTGGACGCGCGCGTCCCAGGGGCGGGAGACGCAGAAGTCCGGTGCGACGCAGCACAGGGCTGGGGACCTGAAGAAGTGCAGGCGTGCAAGCCAGACAAGGCTGGGGACCTGCGGTCACTCGCAGCACCTCGCGCTGCAGCCACTTCTGGCGCTCTGAGCAGTGTCTTCCAAGTTCCATTTTTAATATTCTTTTGTGAGTTATACACACACTGCCTTGTTTTTTATAAAATTATCATATTGTGCAACTCTTTAAAAGCCCTTTTAAAAAATTCCATATACCTTCCACATTGTTAAAAGAAAAAGAAACATGATTTTTGTGAATAGAAGCTATTCTGTCGTTGGGAGGAACCATATTCCTCATTTCTGGAATATTTATTTTCAATTTAGTGTTGTCTTCTCCAACAGGAAAATGAACTAACTTTCACTGTTGAAGGGCCCGTTGTTGAAGTGTAGTACAAACCTCTGGGTGCGCTGGGCAGTAGGGAACAGTGGCCTTTCTTTATTGCACAAGTGTCCCTAGGGGAACCTGATAGCCGGAGAGTCCACTGCCTGGACACTCACAGCCTTATATTTCAGGCAAAGCCTGCTATAGCATGTCAGGGTCTCAATTCCTAGAGATCAAGGAATATGTTTAAATCACTTGACAGGATATCAATCCAAAGAAGAAACCTTCACTCAGTTAAGTGCCCCTGGAGTGAGATGATGTTAATCACCAGTATATTTTAGGGGAGAACTTTGTGAAGGACTTTCTCAAGTGCTTCTCTCTAACAGTAGTTATCAGACCAGTTTATTGGGAGTATTTCTTCTGGACCGTTTAACTGCTATGGAGGTAGGATCATATGTATAAAGATTTCTCTTGCCTAATTTCACAGGTGTTCCACTCAGTTAATGTCCATCAAGTGGTTTGTATCAATTTTCTGTTGCTACAGGGCAATTCCCACAAATTTAGTGTCTTGAAACAAGACTCATTATCTGAAAGTGTGCATGGGTCACATGCCTGGGCAAGTACAGCTGGGTCCCTTCCCGGTGCCTCTCAAGGCACAGTCACGGTTCACCAGGTCAGCTTTCCTTTCCAGAGGTAATGGGGAAGAATCTGCTTCTAGGCTGATTCAGAATGCTGATAGAATTGTTGCTTTCCCACACTTGCCACATTGCCCCTCGGTCTCTAAGTCGGTCACTGTGGGTCTAGTCTTCTCATACTTCAGATCTCTTGGACCTCCTCCTCTTCCTCATTTCTCAAATTTTAAAGGTTCGTGTGGTTGCATTGGACCTACTTGGATAATCAAGGACAATCCTGCATTCATTTCCTACAGCTGCTGCAAGAAATGAGCACGGAATGCCTTGGGCTCCGAGGCCCATGACTTTGTCCACTTGTAACCAAGCCTGCTGCCCCCACAGGCTCGTGAAGGTGGGGGTCCATGGTGGGGTGCCACAGCAGGAGGAGCGCCTCTGTGGCCTCCCACTGGCAAGCGGGTGTAGACCTTTCCCGGAGGAGCTCCTGCAGCGTGTCTCACATTGTGCAGTCAACCCAGGAGCACACAGACAACATCCCAGGAGCTGTTGGCTCTGAGGTTCTGCAGGCGAGGGCATCACAGTAATGGCGAGTGAATGGCGCTTGGCAGCCATCAGCAGGGCTCTCTGAGCTTACTGCCCAATGCAGGGCCCTTCTTTGCTGATAGGAGTCTTTCCTTCCTTTTGCTGCATCCCTGCAGAGAGAAGCACAAGGAGCCCCAGCCACTCCGGAAGTGCCCAAGTCTCTGTTCCACCACGGCCGTCCACCCAGAGAGCTCCTTGATGCTAGTGGTGAGCTCAGAGCCACAGGGCATGTGTGCTGAATCTAGGATGAGAGCCAAATGGAGGTTCTCAGGCTCCCCCAGGAACGAGGACAGAAAATGCTTGGAATGGCTTGTTTGACTGATCTGAAGCATTTACTTGGTCCTCAGGGGTGCTACTCATATGGGAGCAAAGCGGGGGAGGGGAGTAGAAGAAAAGGTGAGGGACGGAAAATATTCTTAACTGTGGGGCTTGTATTGTATGTGTGTGTGTGAGAGAAAGAGAGAGAGAGAGAGAGATGCAGTAGAAAAATGGGCTTACTAAAACTGAGCGATATATGTGTGCTTTAATGAAAGATACTTACGTCTGCACTCAACAGGCTTTGAGGTGCACCAGAAAATAAAATGATAGGTGGATAATCATATGGTAAAAAAAAAAAAATACTGCCAAACTTTAACAATGATAGAATCTAGGTGTCGAGTTTAGGCTTTCTTGTACAATCCTTTCAACTTTTCTGGATGTTTGAAATTCTTCATTAAAAAAGTGTTAGGGACTCACTGTAAGAAACAGACATGGAGTGAGCCTCAGGGCTGCCTCCTTTTGGACCCACTTTCTGCAGCTGTCTGGGAGTTTCTGGTGGGTTATTTTAAAGCAGGGCTTGTGACTATGCTGACTTTTGAAGATCGCAGGTGACTTTATATTCTCTGTGGGAGGAGTTCCATCTCACCAAAGTCCCTGCAGGGCATCAGAGGGAGGGCTCCTTGCAATAATTTAGAAGTAGGAAGTGGTTGGTACCCACCTTTAGTAACAGTGATATTGTCAGCAAAATCATTTTCCTTGCTTGCAACTTGGAAGTTTGGAGACACATTTAGTGGAAACCATCATGCCTCCAACCTCTCCCTACCCCAGACTCAGCCACTAAAAGGCGACCCTCACTCCAAGCCATGAGCAGATGGCCACAGACTTTTCTTTGCTGCCATTAAAACCAGGGTGACCCTATGTCCCAATTTGCCTGGGACAGTCCCATGTGACACCTGCTACCAGCCCTGTCCATGTGCCTGCCACTGTGACAGACACTTGTCTTTGACAGACACTTGTCTTTGACCATTATGTTAAATCCTGCTAAGGATGCTCCCAGACACAGCTTTATAGTTTCTGTTTGGTGTCCACCAGGGTGGAATCAGGCCAAGCTCACCTCCTAAATGAACATAGATATTTAAGACTCTGAGAGAAGATACTTTGTTCTGTCCCACACCTAGCAGGACAAATTCTTGTCAGTATTCAAGAACATAGAATACCAAATATGCACAATGATTTTTAATGCAAAAGCAGTAACATTACAGGCTTGGGTCTCTTAAAATTTTCTATACTTAAAACGTTCCAGGGTTGAAACATGCTTTTTTAAGAAAGGGGGTGATCATTCTACTTAGCTGACATGAATTACCAAAACTGATTACAAAAGAAATCGAAAGTTTGAATAGACATACAACAAACAAAGACAACCACTAATTAAATTTCTCACAAAGATCCCAGGTGATCTTTGTGAATTGATGGTTTCATTGATAAATTCTACCTGAGGAATACATGAGCTGATATCATTCATGAATACAGAGGCAAATATCATTAACAAAATATTAGCAGACCAAATGTAATTACAGAGAAACAGTATTATTACACCATGATTGAGTGAGGTTTATTACAGGAATGCAAGATTGGTTTAACATCTGGAAATAAATTAATGTAATCACCAAATTAATAAAACAAAGAACATTAAACCTATGAGCACATTAGTCAAACAGAAAAAACCATTTGACGTGATAATACATCTATATATGACAAAAACAATTGCACATCCTGGGGCATGGGGAACACCCTCAATCTGATAAGGAGCACCTAATGAGACTTACCACTAATTCACACTTAATTCATTCTGAATACTTTCCCCTAAGATTGGGACAAAAGCAAGAATGTCCACTTCAAACTTCTATTTGACATTTCACTCAAGTTCCAGCCAGTGCAACACAGCAAGAAATATAAATTAAAGATATAGATTTGAAAATGAAACTGTATTTATTTGCAGGAAACATGCTTCTAACAAATCTGTAAAAAAAATCTGGTAGAAATAATAAGACAGCTCAATAAGGTGGTAGGATACAAAATCAATATAAAAACCTCAATTATATTTCTGTATACTGGCAAAGAAGAATCTGAAAATGATATTAAGAAAACTATTCCATTTGCAATAGCTTTGAAAATAATAAAATAATAAAACAAGTGCCAAATCTGTATACTTAAATCTATGAAGTATTGAGAGAGATTAAATGCAATCTAAATAAATGGAAAGATTTGGAATACTCATGGACTGGAGCACAAAATATTGTCATGATAGCAGATTTCCCCTAAATTGATCTATAGACTTACCATGATCTGTACTGAATTTCCAGCAAGCTTTTTTTTTTTTTTAAGGAAATAACAAGCCAATCCTAAAATATATATAGAAATTCAGAGGACCTAGAGCGACCAAAATAATTTAGAAAAAGAAGCAGCAAATTGGAGGACTTACACAACCTGCCTTAAAAATTTATGATCAAGCTACAGTAATCAGGGCAGTGTGGGACTGGAAGAAGATAGACCATACAGATCAGTGGAACAGAGTAGAAACTCCAGAAATAAAACCTGAGCAGCGGATGTTAAACGGAGGTGCACAGGACAATTCAACGGGGAGAGAAATGAGAGTATTTTTAATAAAGGTGCTGAAACAATTGGATAACTATATCCAAAAAAAGAACTTAATACCCTACTTCACACCATACACAAAAAAAATAACTCAAAATCAATCATAGACCTGAATTTAAGAGTTAAAATATAACACTTTAGGAAGAAAACAGAATAAGATCTTTGTGACCTTGAGTTAGGCAAAGTTTTCTTTAACATGATCCCAAAACACCATTAAGGGAAAAAAATGAAAAATTGGACTCCATAAGAAATAAAGCATTTGGTCTTCAAAAGTCACCATTACAAAAATAGAAACTATAAGTCACAAGCTGGAATAAATATCTGCAAACCATGTACTTATATCCAGAATATATAAAGAACTCTCAAAACTTAATAAGGAAAAACAGCCCCAATTTAAAATGGGGAAGAGATTTTAATAAACTTCGACAAACAGGATATATGGATGGCAAATAAACACCTGAAAAGGTGTTTGGCACCACTCACCATTCGGGAAATGCAAATGAAAACCACAGGAAGATAGCACTTCATACCCAGTTAGCATGGCTCGCTCGAAAACGCGAACAATGCCCAGTGCTGGGCTGATGCAGAGAAACCGAAGCCCCGCGTGTCCGCAGTTCAAAGTAACAAGGGAATTTGAAAATGATGCCACTTTGGGAAGCAGTTTGGCAGGCTCTTAAAAACTTGAATATATTCTTACCATTTGACGCAGAAATCCCACTGCCCGGCTCTTACTAAAGAGGGACGAGGACACCAGTGCTCGCAGGGTGGGTGGGGGAGGAGGGGAGCTGTCCCTCCGCGAGACCCCTTCCAGGGACGTGTCTGAGACACGCTTACTTGATGCTGACTAATAACGGACTGGGTTTTCTGAAAGAATAACCTGAGTATCAACAATTTCTCCTTTTTCTTCATTTTCATTTACGCAGCGAACAGATGGCGACCAGAGCTCATCCGCACAGAGGTAGGTTGTATGCTTGCTAGAGTTGTTGGATCTGTCTGAAAGTAGGCTGCCTGCTCTTTGTAACTCAAATTACTTTGGAAAGTAATCCATCTCTGATGGGATATTTTAAAACAATGTGTAACATCGTTTCACTTAACATTAACACATATCCACCATCTTTTTGGCTTACCTTACTTGCGAAAACTGCAATAGTTCTCCACTCCGTCTGTAACCGCTGATACCTGAACCGATATGCGAAGGTCAGTGCTCACTGATTGTGTCAATCAGAGAACATGTGGAGAGCTGAGTCCGAACCTCCTCCTTAGGACGTCTCATAACACCTGGTTTCGCGTTGCTCCCGGGGGCCCCGGAGCGCGGCTCGCACACACACAGGCACACACGAGTTTCCCCGCGAAATCAGAGGCAGAAAGTGGCCCGTCGTGAAGGTCACGACCCAGGCTAGGCACCCACTTTAAAACGCGCACATTGAAACTGCAGCTGTGAAAAGTCGTCGAGGGACAAGAAATACGCTCACACTATGGTAGGTGTCTTAGTCCACCAGGGCTGCTGTCACAAAGGGCCACAAAACAACAGAAGTGTGTGGTCTCACTGTTCTGGAGGCTGGAGCCTGAGATCAAGGTGTCGGCAGGGTCGTGGGGCCTTGTCAGCCTCTCTCCTTGGCTTGTAGATAGAGGTTTTCTCCTTACGCCTCCTCACATTTCCTATTTTGTCCCTTTCTGGCAAGAATAATCGAAAATCAATGCACCAGGATCGTATATTTCCATCTCAAATTTTTTTTCAGATTGCCACATCAATGAGTATTCGTTATAGAAAATTTGGAACTTACAAATATTCCCCGTGTACAGATGAAAGTCTTTCCTTCCCTCCACCCGCCAGTGTCCGCTCCTGGCATTTTGACTGGTATCTTTCAAGTCTCCCACAGTAATATTTCCATGTGCATCATGTATATAACATTTTCTTTTATGAAATTATGATCTCATTGTGCACGTTTTTGGGAGCCTGCTTTTAAAACTCCATGTATTGTGGAGTTTGTTCTGTTAAAAGAAGGAAGCATGAATTCACTGTTCCATTTTGAAGGTATATCCTGTTTCTCATTGTGGGGATCTTCTCATTTTCGACACAGTCTCGCCTTTCTGACGAGAAAGCAGGGAAACTTGACTTGTGGGAAGGGAGCACGAATGTGTCAGCTTACAAACCCTCTGGGTGTGGCAGCCGATAACAGACGGGCAGCCGTTCTCTGTGGCAGGAAGCCTTTCTAGGGTAACGAGGAGTTTGTGCCCAGCGGGGCTGATGGGGGGCCTGGACGTGCCCGCAGCTCTCAGGTCACACCTGCCTAGCCGACCAGGCTCGGCGTCTGGAGACCAGGGCTTGTCTACACCTCTTGACACAACAGTGTGTAAGAAGGTGTAGGTGCTCACGGCGTCAGATGATGTTAATCACAGGCTTATTTTAGAGGAAACTCGGAGTCGGGCTTGCCAAAGCATCGCCGTCTGGGGGTAGCCATCGGACCGTCTCTTTGGCACAATTCCTTTTCGACTGCGTGCCTGTCGGAGAACATTCCACGGGCGGCTCTGCAGAAATTACCAGATAGGGTGGACTAGAGAGGGGAAGGGGCCGCACACCTGAAGCTTCAGGAACTGTGCGGGAGCTCCACCCCGCCAGCCCTCGCCGGGCCCATCCTCTGTAGCCGCACAGCAGATGAGCCCAAGCAGGGGCTCCGAACGCCTTCCCCATCTCACGGGCTCCACGCAGTGAACTGGGCCCCTGCATCTCGCAGGACAGCAGTCAGTGTGTGGCCGGGGTTGCGTTCATTTCGGGAGGTGCTGGAGAAGAATGACAGCATTTGTGTCTTCTCACACGCTGTCACCTCCAGCCTGCAAGGCAGCAATGGAGGGCTGAATCTCTTCGCATCCTCCTTCCTCAGCGGGCCCTCCTGGGTAATTCCGTGTCATCCCACTGTGGCAGTTGAGGTCCAGGGCCCACAGCACCACCCACCGCCCCTCCTTGTTTAAAAGTCCCTGCTGCTTCTGCAGCCCCTCCCCTCAGGTGCTTCTCCCCTGCCCTCACGGGGGTCTCCCAGGGGGCAGCAGACCTGAGGGGCTGCAGAAGAAGGGAAGGCCACAGTAAGGAGCCCGTGGGATGCTGTGGCCTGCGGCTTTCAGCAGCTGTCTGCATTCCTGTTCTTGCTGACGTGTCTCTCCCCTTCCTCCTGCCCCATCCCTCCAGAGTGACGTCCAAGGAGCTCCTGCTGCCGGATATGCCCTCCTTTCAGTTGTCCGCTACCATGTACCCAGAGAATTCGTGGCTAACGGTAGGTGAGGGTGGCCATGCATGAGCCTCAGATACAGGGGTGAGAGCCAGTGCGGGATCTAAGCCTCCCCCAGGAACCCAGGGGAGGGCAGGTTTAGCTGGTTTAAAGCATTTATAATGTTCCCAGGGATGCAGCTCAAACAGGGACAATGGTGGGAGGGGAATACGAGAGAAATAAGGTGGGTAACACAAACATTCTAAACTGTGGGGCATGCGTGTGAGCAGAGAAGCATGATAGAAAAATGGGTGTGACGGACGGAAGCATCACATGTGTGCTTGGGTGATGTGTGTGGATGTCTTCAGCCAGCACTCCAGGAAGCTCCTGGCAGGATCCTGGCCTGTCCCCCAGGGTCTCAGCAATCCACTTACTGTCCCAGCGGAAGGGCTCTCCTGCTCATCTCCCAGATCAACAGGGAGGAGGGACCTACCCAGCCCACTCTGTTCATTATGCAGCCTGGACTCAGAGTTCCATGTTGGAGATGCTGGAGGCTGGTCTTCAGTGAGGACGGGGTGTGACTGGCCAAGTCACAGTTTAAACCATGGCCAACACCATATGGCACAAACCCTCCCTGCCACTCACTCCCATCCAGCCTCCTGCCATACCTGGAGACCAGGGTGGTGCTCGTTCCATCCCATTGGCACCCCACCCCTGCCATCCCTTCTTGGGTGGTGGGTACCACAGGACTTCTTCTGAGCGACAGGAAGGACGGTGCTCAAGCAGCAAAGTCATGATGACAGGACAGGTGTTGACCATGGGTCCCACCTGGCTGTAGCGTGTCCAGGGGAATGTGCTCAAGGCCTCTTCTCTGGTGAATGTGGCTCTTGAGCTCACCTCTAGAATGTGTGGTAGAGCAGTCTCAGGGCCACCTCATTCCCATCCTGTCTCAGGAATCAAGTCAGCTGTGACCATTCAGTGACACTCTGCTGGACACTTGTCATCCATCATCACATTTAATCCCTCTGTGGATTATCTGAGACAGATCATCATCCCACTTTGATGGCTAAGATTAGATAAGGCTGGGCTCACCTCCTAAGTGTGGGCAGAGCTTTGAGATCTCAATGGCTCAAACCCTCCCCACCTCTCGCCCAGGAGGACACATTCTCTTCTGCATTCAAAACGGTAAATACCAAATATGCACATAGGGCTTTCTAATGCAACAGTAGAAATAGCATGAGTTTGGGTTTCTTAAACATTTATATCCTTAATTCTAAATCTTCCAATGTTGAAAAATGCATTCTCACTTAAGAAAGGTAGTTACCGGGCGCCTGGGTGGCTCCGTCGTTAAGCGTCTGCCTTCGGCCCAGGTCATGATCCCAGGGTCCTGGGATCGAGCCCCGCATCGGGCTCCCTGCTCGGCGGGAAGACTGCTTCTCCCTCTCCCACTCCCCCTGCTTGTGTTCCCTCTCTCACTGTGTCTCTCTCTGTCAGATAAATAAATAAAATCTTTTAAATAAATAAATAAATAAGAAAGCAGCTGCTTTCTGCTCAGGTCATGATCCCAGGATCCTGGGATCGAGCCCCGCATCGGGCTCCCTGGTGGGCGGGAAGCCTGCTTCTCTTCTCCCACCCTCCCTGCTTGTGTTTCCTCTCTCTCGCTGTATCTCTCTCTGTCTAATAAATAAATAAAATCTTAAAAAAAAAAAGGGTAGTTACCTTTCCAGTCAAATTATACAAATTAGCAGACCTAAATAAATAAAAAAAATAGAAAATCCCCAACCCCCTGGTGGCTACACTGTTGAATTCTACTGAATTAAAAAATAATAATAACAGCTGTACACAAGCTCTCTCAGAAAACAGAGGAGAGGAAACCGTTCTGGGAAGCCAGTTTCAACCTGATACCAAAGCCAGACAATGTCATCGCAAAAGATACCACGAAGCAAGAGCCTTCGAGAAAGTGCAGACAGAAACCACTGACTAAGCATTCGCAAACCAAATCTAGCAACACACAGGATTAAATGCCATGACTATGTATTGGCCTTATACAAAATATTAACAGTGAGGGACAGTAATAATATAATGATATCAATTCAGAAAAAGGAGTTGCCAGTAAGAAACTCTCATTTATGATAAAAAAATAATATTCTCAACAAATTAGGAATGAATTGAAAAGATCTTCATTCTGACAATGAGCACCTACGAAATACAACAGACTTCCTGGTGGAAGACTGAATGCTATCCTTCTTATGACTAGGAACAAGGTAAGGATGTCCATGCTCACTACTTTTATTTAACATTGTACTAAAGTTCTAGCCAGTGAAATAAAACAAGAAAAAGGAATAAAGAATAGAAAGTTAAACTGTATTGATCACAGACAACATGGTTCTAAAACAAAAATAAAAACAAAACAAAGCAAAAAACTTTGCAAGAAGCAGCTAAAGAGCTCTCCAATAAGCTTTTCTTAAATAAATGTCACATCAGTTATTTATTTTTTTTAAGAATTTTATTTTTTATTGTTTTTTTTAAGATTTTTTATTTATTTATTTGAGAGAGAGAGAATGAGAGACAGAGAGCATGAGAGGGGGGCGGGTCAGAGGGAGAAGCAGACTCCCCACCAAGCAGGGAGCCCGATGTGGGAATGAATCTCAGGACCCCAGGATCCTGACCCAAGCTGAAGGCAGTCGCTTAACCAACTGAGCCACCCAGGCACCCTATAATAACATTTTTTAAAAATTCTTACGATATAATGAGTGGGGAAAAGCAATATAAAATTACATTTATGGCAAATTAGCAGTTGTATAAAACAAAAACAAATTCTATAAATGGGGAAATAAAGACTGATGGGAAATGCTGGGAAATACATTAGGATGAAGGAACTCTGGGTAAGTTTTAGTTTTCTTTTCTCTGTTTTCCAAAGTGTTAAGCATATTCACATGATTCTTAGAGTAAAAATATATGAAATAATATTTAAAATTATTTTAATATTTAAAAAGAAGGAAAAGAAAAAATGGTGCATTGGACTTCATCAAAATTTAGGGTTAGATTTGAACAAACCTATGTGAAATGATGCTCAGCATCGTTCAAGATGTGGGAAAGCAAGTTGCAGCCACAAGACGAGGGTCCTGCCGTCCACTAGAATGGGGGCGACCCAGCGGAGGTGCTGTCAGGGCTGCTCAGTACTCATCAACAGAGTCGCGTCCGTCGCCGCGGGCACAGACTGTGGCTTAAGTGACAAACCCAGGATCTCCCGATCTGGAGGCTGGACGCCTGAGATCCAGGTGTTGTCAAGGTTGGATTCTCCTCAACCCCCCACGTCCTTGCATGGCCCTTCCTCTGTGCACCTCCGTCCCCACTGCCGCCCCGCACACAGACCCGTCACCAAGGTCAGGGCCACCTGGTGGCCTCACTTGACATGCACCCTCTGTATGGCCCTCATGGCCAATGCAGGCACACTCGGGGTGCCCCGGGGGTCGGGGCGCCAGCCGTGAAGCAGGAGGGCACAGAGAGAGGCAGGGGCGCAGGGCAGGGAGGGAGGTGCTCTCCTGCCCTGGACCCAACATGAGCTAATAATGGACTTGGGTTTTAAGCATGTCAACCACCCCTTCGGTTCTCATGCTATAAATTATCATTTATACCCTCGCAGGACACAGGCAGCAAACTGACGTCATCTGCACCGGGGTAAGTTTGCGAGTGTCCCGGACTGTTTCCTCTGTCTGAAAAATAGCCGTGGCCTCGTCCGACTGCCATTCCTGAGGGAAGGGGTGGGATGGAGTATCTCACAGTGCTGTGGCCATGGGTCGGAAGACGGAACGGTTTCCCTGACATCACAGACAGGGTGGCCTCTGCCGTGGCTCATCACACTGGCGTTCCTTGGGAAGTCAGAGTAACGCTTCTGGGCGTCGTCCCCAGGGATGTGAGCTCATGCCAAGTGTGAGTGGTGCTCATTCATCCTCCTCCCGTGAGCGCTCGTGGGTGCAGCAGCGTTGGGCTGAGTCAGGCTCGCCCTCTTGCCCTCAGTCGTCCTGGGGCTGCAGTCGGCGCCCCTATGGCGCCCGCTCTGCCCGCAGCCGCGCACACAGGCCCCCCCCAGGAACACACGGCCTTTCCACCCTCCCTGCCGTGGGGCCAGAAAGTGGCCCCGGACAGACCGTGGCCTGGTTTCAAGCACACGTTTTGAAGAGTAAGATCAGGTGCAGGGGAACGTACGGACTTCTGTCCCCATGACAAACCTGCACAGCCTCGACAGGCCACCTTCTCCTGCAATACTGAGTAGCAGGAGAGATTCACGGCGCCAGCGTTAACAAGCTCTGGGTCTCTTCGGCACCATTCACCCAAGCACACTGAGCACGGGCTCCCTTCGTCCTTAAGAGGACAATTCTGTGAAACATTTTCCTAGGTGGTTTGTAGATATTGTGTCCTTCTTCCAGTGCCATTGAATGTAATTTAAAAATAAAATTAAAAAGGACAAGGCATTTACTTGAATCTCACCCACCAAACACACAGACACATAGGCCCCTCTCTGGCCCTCGCCCCCTCCCTGCCTGGCCCCCACCTGCTGAGCAGGGTGTGGGACAGGCTGCTCCGGCCCCCCAGGGAAGCACCCTGCCCCCCCCTCTGCTCTTCCACACCCCTTGGCGGCCACGGCCCTGGCCCAGGCTCCTGGGGGGGCCTCTGCTGGGACCATGAAGGTGATGGTGCTGATGGTGGAGTCAGATGGCCATGCTGGGGATGCGGACAGGGATGAGGACAGGTTATTGGAGGGGATGGGAAGGAGGCTGTTCTCTTGCTCCGGAGAGACACCCACACATGGTGCTTGTGTGAACTGGTCCATGTTCCGCTGGGTGTCCCTGAGACCTCCGGACTGGTCAGGATCCCTGGCGTCATCCTGCACTGAGCTGGCTTCCTTCGTTCCAACCCAGCAGCCCTGGGTCACGGGGCAACGAAAACGCTATTAGTCCTTTTTTGTTGCAGAAAATATTTCCGTGGTAACCTAACAGTTTGGATCCAGGTGACCAGTTGGCACTTTAGACACCCCCCTACCCCCTGCTCCCTGGGCCTCACCTGCAGGAGCAGGTGGAGTCTCAGGCCTGGAGCCAGGCCAGGGGAGAACACACCCACCCAGGGCCTCGGTGGGTGCTCATCACGGGCACGTGTTAGTGGGGAACTTGGTAGAACTTCATGCAGCGTCTCTTCCTGATGGTCAGACAGACTTAACTGGTCTGTTTATCTGTTGGGGATGTTCAGTTCGCTGACTGTATAGAAATCAGCCAGACAGAATGAATATATGAATAAGGAGGATCTATCCCACAGATGAAGCTACTTCTGTCTGGCTTTAAAGGTGTCTCACGCGGCCGAAGTCCACCAGGTGGTTTGTTTTAATTTTCTGCTGTGGTGGAGGCGCAGGGTCCTTCCCACAGGAGCCCCCTGCTTGTCTCTTCTGCAGGACTTGCCCCAGGCACTCAAACAGCTCCCAGCCACTGCCTGTTCCGCTGCCGCAGACAAGAGGGGACCCCAGCAGGGAGACGTCCTGCAGGGTCCCCGTGTACTCACCGACACAGTGAGGGCCTCCTTGGTAACGTCTTTCTCCTTCCCATCCCGCTCTAGCAGACCCAGGAGGAAGGTGCTCCTGTCGCGATCCGAGTCCTCAAGCCTGAGGTCCACCACCACCGCCAGCCCAGAGAGCGCCCTGTCGCTGCAGGTGAGCCCAGGATTGCTGACGACCGAGCTCAGATGCAGGGGTGAGACCCTGGGTCCCCCCAAAGTTGGGGTCGGCATCGTATTCTGGATGCTCGTTGCACTCGTGCTCAGTGCTTCTTGGGCGCCAGGGGTGCTGCTCAAAGGGCAGCAAAGGTGTGTGTGGAGTAGGAGGAAACGTGAAGGGCAGATCACGCTCCTGACGTGGGGCCCATGCGTGCGGGATAGAGGCAGATGGAGTCCCCACGCGGTGCCCCTAAGCCAAGCCTCGTATGCGCGCTCGGGGGACGCATGCTGGTACGATAGAGGATATAGGGCCGGACGCTCGCTGCGGTAGACTCCCAGGGGTGGTGTTTCAGAGGTGTGCTTTGTGTGATCCTTTCAACTTTCTGTGTGTTTGAGCTTGTCGTAGCCCATGCTGGGGAATAGCTCTGCAGGAAGCAGAAGGGGAGTGAAGAGGGGGTGTGTGTAACTGATGGTCACCAGAGCGTGTGAGCATGTGTGGGAGCCACATGTGGGCTGGAGTGAGGAAGCCTGCTAAGAAGGGCTGGCGGCCCTAGGACTGGGTGTGGGCGGCCTGCATGGTGCGGCAGCAGGTCAGGGAGGCGCCGCGTGGTGCTGGCCCTGCCAGCAGGTGAGTACAGACCCTGGCGGGGCAGGGCTGCTGGGAACACGGCTCCCCAGGTGCTCCCTTCCAGAGTGACCCATGGGACTGCCACCACCCCCAGCCAGTGGGGCCCAAGGCTCAGGACAATGCTCTTGAGCCCTTGGCTTTGAGCTTGGAGAGCCCCCTCCCAACTAAGGAGACTCAGACCCCAGCCCTCAGATGGCCATGCACGGTCACTGAGCCCACACCCCAGACCAGCCTGGGGCCTCCTCCCCACTGTAGGCTCCGTCCAGAACCCGCAAGTGATCCTGATTCCCTGTGCGCCCGGCTTCCCGCCAGGCCCACCTCTCTGTGGGTGACCCCAATGCCTGTAGCTCTCAGCCAAGGGTTAGAAAAGAATGGGCCCCATAAGGGGCACTTGGACTTTGGGTCCATTCTGGTGTGGAGATGTTACTGGTCCCACACCCCAGAGGAAGTTTCTTAAACCCCACTGAGTCCCTGGGTCTCCACGAGGACACTCGCTGCGGTAGACTCCCAGGGGTGGTGTTTCAGAGGAGGTTAGGGCGTAGGGCTGTCACTTCCCAGAGCAGGATGTGCGAGGACTCAGTGAGAGGTTGTGAGCACTTCTGCCAGCGTCAGGCTCAGACTGGTGCTCAGTAAATGCTAGCCCCCCGCCCCAACACCCTGTTTTAGACCTTGGTGCACATTAAGCATAATCCTTGTCTGGGACACAGACTCATCATTGATCTATGCAAACCCTGCTTTCTAAATTTACTCCATATTTCCTTTATTTTTGGTGTCAGAGGAAGCACCAACAACCCAAGAAAAGGCAGGGTCCTGATGAGGTCTACATCTGCATATGCGGCCCCAGTCACTCTCTTTGTTCTTGTGTTTTCCTTTTACTTCCGTGTTTCAGATCATACCTATTCCTAAAAAATACATACATGCAATTCATTGGTTACTCTTTATTTCACAGAAAGGACACAGTGTATATGTGATGTTTGGAATTTGGGGGAATCACCTTTTCACTCACTACTTAATGGTCAAGTTGGCTGTGCCCTGTCTCGTGCTGCTGAGTCCCTTTGCCTTCCTTCTGTGACTCTTTCTTCCCGCCCCACACTCACTCGGCCCCTCTGCTGTGGGCGCGCAGAATGGACACCCCTGTATGGTCTCTGTAATGAGCAGCGACTCCGCAAGATAAGGCCAGACTCTTTTCTAAAGGGGGTGCGCAGTCTGCACTCCCACAGAAGTGTATATGAAACCCTGTTGGTCCATATCCTCCCCAACACCTGGGGCCCAAACCCAGTGGTGCGGGATGGTGGCTTCCCGTCCCTCCCAGAATTACCCCCATGACTGACGATGCTGGACGTGCATTAACCATGTAAGTTTCCTCCTATGGGACATGCTTGCTCTTGTCCTTGGTCCATTTTCCTGTCATGCTCTTTCTGCTTTTCTTTTTTTTTTTTTTTTTTAAAGATTTTATTTATTTGAGAGAGAGAGAATGAGTGAGAGAGAGTGCACATGAGAGAGGGGAGGGTCAGAGGGAGAAGCAGACTCCCTGCCGAGCAGGGAGCCTGATGCGGGACTCGATCCCGGGACTCCAGGATCATGACCCGAGCCGAAGGCAGTCGCCTAACCAACTGAGCCACCCAGGTGTCCCTCTTTCTACTTTTCTTACAGATTTATTTGAATTCTTTATATATTCTTGATACAAACCACTCGTTAGTTGGGTGAATTACAGATAGGGTGTCACAGAGCAGCTTGACTCCATGCTCCGTTTAACCTGACGTTTGATGAGCCTGAGCCGTACCTTTCAATATACTCACACTTACACATATTTTACGATAATCCTTCTTGGTCTCAATTCATCTTTAACCCAAGCATCTAAAAGAGAGTCATCTGTACTTTCTACTACAAGTTTTCAACACTGAATTTTGAGAGTTGAGTTCTGTGTGGTTCACTGGCGGGTTTGGTGTGAGGTACCGATCCAGCGTCATCCCTCCCCTGTGGGTTTCTGTTGTTCCAGCTGCAGTCACAAAACACCAAATGGACCCTCTTTTCCCCACTGATCTGTTTTCTGTATGCCTCATATGTTTTTTATTCCACAATACTTTCACTACTGCTTTTTTTGTATTTAGCTGAATTTGCATACTGTGCCGTTTTTATTCCCTTCTTCTTTCCTTCTTATATTTTTTAGTTACCTTCTTACTGGTTACCTTGGGGATTATAATTAACATCTTTAACTTATAAGAGTCTATGTTGAATAATACCAACTTCATTTCAATACCCTACAATATTCTGCTCCTATACATCTCCATCCCTCTTCTTTTATACTCTTAATGTCACAGATTACATCTTTACACATTGTGTGCCTATTAGGAAAGACTTATAATTATTGTCTTATGAATAAGTCTTTTAAATTGCATGGAGAAGAAGAGGACCTACAAACCCCAAGTATAACAACCTTGGCTTATATATTAACCCGTGCGGTTATCTTTACCAGTTCTTTATTTCTTCTACTGCATAAAGCCTCCATTTTAGCCCAAAAAGCTCCCTTTAGTATTTCTTATAGGAAAGGTCTGTTGGTCATGAATTCTCTCAGCTTTTGTTTACCTAAGAATGTCTTAATTTCTCCTGTATCCTCAAAAGACAGTTTTGTTGGATTTAGAATTCTTGGTTGGCAGATTTTATTTTCCTTACAGGACATTAAATGTGCCCTCAGGCTTCCATGATTTCTGATGAGAAATCAGCTGTTGATCTTACTGAGGCTCCTTATATAGGATTAACCACTTCTCGGGCGCCTGAATGGCTCAGTTGGTTAAGCGACTGCCTTCGGCTCAGGTCATGATCCTGGAGTCCCTGGATCGAGTCCCGCATTGGGCTCCCTGCTCAGCAGGGAGTCTGCTTCTCCCTCTGACCCTCCTCCCTCTCATGCTCTCTGTCTCTCATTCTCTCTGTCTCAAATAAATAAATAAAATCTTAAAAAAAAAAAAAAAAGGATTAACCACTTCTCTTTTGCTGCTTTCAGAATCCTTTCTGGGGTTTTGAAAAATCTAGCAGTGCTGTGGCTGCTCGCTGTGGACGTATGCATTTATCTTGCTTGGAGTCAGTTGAGCATCTTGGATGTGTAGATCCATACCTTCCATCACATTTGGGAAGCATGCAGCCAGTGTTTCTTCAGTTATTTTTCTCTCTGCCCCTCTCTTCTCCTTCTGGGCCTCAGGTCCACCAGGTGCTGTTCATGTTCCTTCATTCCATTTTCTCCCTGGTCCCCAGACTGGATAATTTCAGTTGTCTTCGAGCTCACTGATCCTTTCTTCTCCTGCTCAAATGTGGTGAGCTCTACTAGTGAATGTTTAATTTCACAGTTTTCAGTGGTAGAATTTCTGTGTGGTTCCTTTTTGTAATTCCTATCTCTTTCTTGATATTCTTTATGTTTATTCAGTATTTTCCTGATTTCCTTTAGTTCTTCACCTTGGCTCATTGAGCATATTTAAGACAGCTGATTTAATGTCTTAAATGTCTGGACTTCTGGGAAATTCTGTCAAATTCTTTTTCTCCTTTGAATGGGCCACATTGTCTTATTTCTTTGTATGTTTTATAATTTTTTGTTGAGAACTGGGTATTCTGAGTATTATAATGTGGAAGTCTGGACATCAGATTCTCCCACTGCTCAGGGATTGTAGGTTTTTGAACTATCAGATTGTGACTCTTCCAAACTGCTTTTGCAAAGTATGTATTTCCTGTTGTGAAGATTCTCTGACTATCTGTGTGGTCAGCCAGTAATATCCTTAAATGTCTGGCTGCAAATAAGAGGAATAAATGTTCCGATCGATGGCCCTGAAGGAGCTACTGCTGCCATGGTGGCCAAGACAAGAGAGCAGCCGTGCCGGCCCCTCAGGGCATGACCAGACCCAACCAAAAGGCACAACGCCCACGTTTTGGAGTACAGAGTTCCCGCTGCCTGCCCAAGCGTTAGCTGCTCCAGGAATGAGGGCTGGCTGTTCTCCAGCAGCCACAGGACTGAGGGTGGGTGGTCACTGGCTTGCACGCATGGCTCGCTCAGGAGGGACAGGTAGCATCCCTTCCCTGGTGCTGCACATTGTCACTGTGTCTGGTCCAGTTCCAGAATTTGGAACAGTCGACCCCGGTGGCTCTCCTCAGCATAGTGGCTCCTTCGAGGAGGACTGGTCTCTCATGCTTCCTGCTCCAGCACTTTGTTCTCAGGTGAAGGATGCTGATGCACACACTGGCACAGTCGTCACCACCGTCCCCACAAATCTCTACCCCACAGCCCTCCACCACTCCGCTGCCAAGCTCTGTGTTGCTTTTGCTTTCATTCTAAACCAGTAGTGTGCCTCCCTGTATTTTCGGTAATACCTTGATCACCTTTGCTTCCTGAGCCCCATCCCCTCCTCTACTGGGATTGCTGCCCACTCTGTGGCCACCTTTGGTGGACGCCCTGCTGTCACCCGTGGGCCGGGAAGTTTGACGGCAGCGGTCGCCCGTCTGGCTGCTCGGCCTGTGGCGCCCCCAGGTACCCACCAGAGCCCTGCCCGCACGTCAGCAGCACCATCCTCTCTGAGGGATCCCCTGGGGGCCTCCCCATCCCGACAGCATGCTCCTCAAACCTCGGCTTTCTGTAGCCTGTTGCCATTTGCTTCCTCTTCTTCAGGGGATGGTCGTCCCTCATCAACAAGGGCTTGCCTTTTGTTTCTTATAAAGTTATATCTTTACTCATTCATGCATCAGTTTGTATCTTGACTGTAATTCTCAAGGGCTGGCTCGGGGAGGCACACTCCAGATTTAGAAGTCTCTCAGAAGCACTTGTACTTGGAGGTCTTTCAAAACCTTCAAGGGAAAATTGTGCACAGCCACAGTGTCTGGTCCCTGCTGCACGCAGCCCCGAGTTAGAATAAGCGTCATCCCTGGCCCTTTGGCCAGCCCACGTGGATGGGATAATAAGTCACCTGTTGGCTGGCCTGGCAGCACCAGGGCAAAATAAGCCTCCTGCTTTCCGGAGGTGGAGTGAAGACACTCGGGGCTCCTGGGTAGCCAGGACTTACCCCCAGCAAGCAGAGTTGTGCAGTGAAGGCGCCCAGCGAGGGGTGTCCTATGCTGTCCTTGTTGCCCCTTCCTCATGCTGGGGGTCCAAATGGGCCCCTCGGCCCCTGTGAGACGCTCCCACTCATTAGGCAAAGCACTACTTGGCTCCATCGTGATGCGCGTGCAGAGGGAGAAGCCAACCCCCTCCCCAGTGCACTCCTGTTAGCAGCCCCACACAGAAGTGAGTGCTCTGAACTCAGGCGGTGGGTGATTGCCTGCGTCCAGCTCGTGGGGGCAGAGCCGGGTTTGTGTGCCCCCTTTGGCAGGGCAACAAATCTTGCATCCATATTCCCTGCTACTTCTCTCTCTGCAGGTTTCAAAGGATCAACAGCAAGAAACAAGGCAACCTATGAGAGGAGACGGTACGGTGTCTCACAGTCTGGGTGTTGAGGTCTACCCAAGCTTGATTCTCTAGAGCTAAATATTTTCTACAGAAGAAAAAAAAAAAAGAGGGAGAAATCACCAATGGAGGGTCAAGGGCTGGGACACTGTGTTCCCAGTGGCACAGAGGACAAGCTTGAGCTCACGTAGAGCATCTGCAGACGGCGCCTGGTGTCTCCATGCTTGCCCGCCCCCTGCTGTATGTGCCACAAGGCAGCAGGTCCGCGAGGTGGGGCCAGACACCTAGCGGATACATCAGCTGGCAGAGCGTCTGCAAAGAGCTGGCATCCTTCTGTGTGGCCACCAGTCTGAGCCGTGGGCCCCGAAGAGCAGTGGTGGCTGACTTACTAACGGGGGCACAGAGCAAGGGCCACGCTGAGTCTGAGTAATGACCAGAGCCTGACGTGCTTTGTAGGAGCTCAGACTCAGCCTCCCGTGCGCTGTCTGCCCAGTGATGGCGTTGTTCGCACGCGGGATCCTTGCAGGGTGCTTCTGACGTGGTGTCCTCTCATCTAAGAAAACTTTCACCACAGTAATGCCTCCCTTCAGAGCATGCAGCGCCTGAGTATGTTCACCTTTTCAACATGCCCTTGGTGAGGAATCAGTGGCTCCTATTTCTAGAAAAGGAGGCTGAGAAGGGTGAGTTTGATTTCTGTGTGATTCCAGAGAGGACTCAAGTTGGATTTTAAGGATCATAAACTAAAAACAACTGTTGTAAGTGACGGGGGGTCTGAGCCTCAGGTCCAGTCACATGGCAGCTTGGCTCCCAGATGGGCTGACACCACGGGGGTGTGTGTGTGCATGCCGTGGGTGCTCATGGATTGCTGAGAAGCTGGGGATCCTCAGGCCAGGGACAGAGGCAAAGACAAACCCAAAGAAAACCCCGTGGGCATGGCTTCCCCTGGTGAACTCGATTTTCACACTTTCCAGGAGGGAGAGAGAGGACCAAGCTCAGAGCACAGCCAGAATGGGAGGCCAAGAACTTGTCCCATAAAACTGGGACCCCAGATGGCTATACCCGCATTGTGGTGGCAAACCGTTGTCCACTCCCACCGGACGCAAGAAAAATCAGCCCCATCTCAAACCTGGTGAAGGGCCCACTCTGTACCCCTGCATCGAGGGGCTCTGCTTGCCTGCCTCGGGTGTTCATGGTGAAAGGGCCGAGAAAATCTCTGCCAACAGCTTGGAAGGACAGACTATCCCCAAACTCCTCAGGCTGAGGATTAACTTGGAGCGATTCTGGACTGGTCATCACAGGTGCCAGGAGGAGCGAGGAAGAACTGAGCCATTCTCATCCCACACGGCTGTGCCCTCAGGAAAGCCAAGGCCACGGCAGAGACAGACACACGAGGGCATCCGGCTCTCAGGCCAAACGCAAAGTAACTGGGCTTATTGTTTTGAGAAACAAAAGGCAAAGTGAAAAACATCTGAAGAGAACAGAAAACTGTTGTTTAATTTATGAGCGTATCTGAAAAAGAACCAAATAAAACTTAGGGCTGCAGAAAACGTCACGGAGGCCCAACAGTCCACTGATGGGTTTAGCAGCATGTTGTCGGTCAGTTGGAACCTGTGAGCTTGAAATCAGAGCTGGGGAGTCACCTGGCACATGAAGGCAGGTGCAGAATGTGGAGGACCGTGAGCAAGGTGGGGCTGGGGTGTGCGGTGTGACTGGGGTCCCGGGAAGAGGAGGGGGAGGTGTTTGCAGAGATGAGCCTGAGAACCCTACAGATTCTCGGAGTCTGATGAGTCCAGGAATGGCAAATAAGATTCTAGATACGTCGTAAGTCAACCAGCAACCACCAGAGAGAGACAAAGAAAATGCGTATTTTTAAATACCTGGTGATACAAGACAGAGTCCCTTCCAGGGAATACTGATTACCTTCACTCATCCTAACGGAAGCCTTCAGTATGGTGGGGCACCCAGCCCAGGGCTCTCTTCTTGGCTGATGTACATCTTAGGCTGAAGGCGAAGCAGGCATTTCTACATCAGTAAGGAATCCTGGGGAATGAAAATAGGCCATTTTCAAGAGCGTTTTTAAAAGTGAGGTCCCTAGGAATAAATCGAACAAAAGACATGCAAGACTTGCAGAGAAAAGGATAAAACTTAGAACACTCTGAGGAACCCTAAGGAATGCAGACAGACCCCACTTGCAGAGCGGGCACTGTGGTGCCGAGACGCCAGGCTCCCAGGTAGGCCAGTGCCAGACTCCAGCAGCAGACGCTGCTTCTGAAATGCGTATGGGATTGCAAAGCGTCAAGGATAGCCAAGAACCCGAAGAAGAAGGGCAGTTCAGGATGGCTAGCCATGCCGCTTCTCTAAAGCTTGCTGGTTAAAGACAGCATGGCACCTGTGTGGAGATCACTGCGGAGCCGCCGTGGAGGCTTCTGATGCCGTGAGCACGTCCACGCGCACAGGAACACTAAGTTCCTGGCAGAAGCTGGCTGACGAGCGGGGGTGCGTAGGTTTTGATAAATGCTGCTGGGAAGTTCGGGGCCACGCGGGAAAAACACTAATGAAATTAGAGCCCTACCTCACACTATTCGCACAAATTAATCTCACGTGGACTAAAGACGTATGTGTGAAGCTGTAAAAACTGGAAGGTACTACTGGGTAATATCTTTGTGTCCTCCTGGTATCTGAGGATTTGGTCAGTAGGATTTTCTTAAAGGCACTAGCCACATAGGAAGGTAGACGTAAATTAGGCCACGCCAAAATGAAGGACTTCTGGATACATCAGAGAGGGTGCCATCAGAAAGGGAAGAGTCACACCCAAAACTGGAAACGTGTTTGTAAGTTATGTCCAAAACTGACAAAGGACTAGTATGCAGAATATATAAAGAACTATGACCCCATAAGAAAACAAATGACCAGCGACGAATGGGCACTTCACAGAAGAGGGGACCCGGAAGCCGGCAAACAGGAAAAGTGCTCAGCTGTCCCGGTCATCAGGGAAATGCAACTGAAAGCCGCGCGAGGTGGCGAGATGTTCTGTCACGGGAGCAGGGACTGGCGAGGGTGGGCCCGGACGTGCATGCGGCGGGTGGGCTGGCCCAGCACGGTGCCCTGCAGAGCACAGCCGTGGGAGCCCCCATAGCCCCGTTCTGGGCGCAGGTCTGGAAAAAGGCCTGCCCGCGGCACTGGGAGTCCAGAGCATTGCTGGGCCGCTGAGATGCCCAGCACGGGAGGCCCCCCACCCCGGGGACGCCCCCACGAGGCAGCAATGGGACGAATGCAGGCACGTGTCAGGGGAGCACCCAGCACCTGTGGGAACTGAGGGTCCCGGGACACACAGGAGCTCCTGGCCCTGGGGGTCCTCATCTCATCATTCCTGTGAACGTACATCCGTGTGCTCCCCACCCTCCTGCAGGTGGGATATCGCTCATGGAAAAGACCGTGTGTGGGCATTCGCATCCCCTTCTCAGCTCCGGCAGCCGCTCACCGCAGGGCAGGGGTGAGTGGAGGGAGCCTCGCCGGGGAGGAGGGTTCTTGCCGCCCCGCTCTGTGGGGCTCTGTGTGCAGGTGTCCTGTGCAGGGCCGGCCGCCCTCCCGGCCAAAGGTCAGGACTCCGGCTCCAGGAACCCCGCCTTGGCCTTCCTGGCGAGGGGCCGACCCTGCACCCCTGCACCAAGGGCCGGGCGGGCCCTCTGCTTGCCTGCTGCGGCGGCGTTCATGGTGGCTTATCCTCTGCTCTGCAGGAGCCAAGGCGCCCACACCTGAGCCGCCCTCCTTCAGGATCCCGTCTCAGGAGTCAGACCTGGAGAACCTCATGCCCCTGTATCGGCTGCCATGCAGCCACCAGAATGTGCTGTCCAGGGAGGGCGCCCGCTGCGGGGGCCAGCAGAGCCCGGCTGGGGCGCCCGCCACCTCCAGCCATGAGCCACGAGGGGAGCAGGCCGTCCAGGGCTCGTGCCATCTCCAGGACGGCCAGCCTCCAGGGGCGACACCGGAGGTGGCTCAGGCCAGCGTCGCTCCGTTCGGCCAGGCTGAGGGCCCGCCCGCGGCGCGGGGAGAGACCGGGGTCCGCCTGTGTCTCCCCGGGGAAGCCCGTGATCCCGACGCCTGATGGCCTGGGGGGCTCACCGCTGTGCTCAGAGGGCAGCGCGTCCTCGAGGGTCCCCGGCTGTCCCTCCTCCTGCACAGACACCAGGGGTGCCCGGTGGCCTGTTCCTGTGGAGGGCAGCCCGGGCTCTGGCTGCGGAAAGTCGGGCCGAGGAAGGGAACTGAGCGCCTCCTCGGATCCCGGCCACGCGGAAGCCTTCCCTGGAACCTGCATCTCGCTCAGCGTGGAAGCCGTGTTGTAATGCACGGAGTTTCCCGAACACGCCCACACGTTGTGCCAGGACTCAGGGCCCAGGGTGCTGTTTTCACGTGTGTCGATTAGCAATGGTAACTGCTAGGGACTTAAGCAGCTTTTAAGGAAATTCTTCAGAATTTCTTAGGAAGCTGTATTGCAGGAAATAATAGAAATTAATTTTATTGGCAATAAACTTTAAATCAGTCTTGGTGAATTTTACATTCTTGGGCTTCAGGTGGTCTTTTGGGGGGCTGGTGAGGATTCGTGGCCGAGCCCCTCTGCCCCCCCAACCTGAGCCATCTGGCGCTGGGCCCTCAAGTCCAGTGTGAATGAGGCCCGGGTCTGGGCCTGCAGAACCGGCTCCCAAGCCTGCCCCCAGGTGGGAGAAGCCCCAGCCCACCCCCGCCACCCCCAGCTCCCAGGCTTGCGGGGCGCTAGCCTGAGTTAGGCCTGCTGTGGGCAGTGACCCTCCGTGGGCCCAGTGGTGGCCACCTGTTTCTCTGAGCGCTTTGCTGTGGCTCCAGTCTGAACCCGTGGGCCCCATGCTGCACCACCACGGGCAGGCTTCCTGGAGGAGGTGTGCTCTGGCGTGGGCTCCTTTACCTTCCATGCCTCGGTTCCTCCGACAGGCACCCTGTGATAAGTCAGCCTGCCCACCTGTGTGGTCTCGCCTCGGGCGGTCACGTGCTGTGTCAGCTGACACGCAGGAAGCCCCCCCGCCTGCGCCCCCCCATCATGCACGCCCTCACCTGCTGACCTCCCACCCCATCCTGCAGTCATCATTTCTACCCTTCCCTCCTGATAGGCCATGTTTGCCCTTGGAGGGCCCCCGGGAGACCCCCTCCAGGTGGGCCAGCCCCTCCTGAAGGAACCCCCTTCCCTGCTTCTTTATCTCCCTGCCCTGCCTCTAAGCCTCCGGAGACCTGCTCCCCCTGATTACTTGAAACTGGGTCTTGGCCCCCACAGGGCAGTTGCCCTGACCTTGTGTCCTGAGAGCCTCCAAGTCCACACAGGCTCATGGGACTGTGGAACCCAGCACTTGCGCGACCCAACCTCAACCTTCAGAGAAGATGATCCTCTACCTTCTGGAGGGGAGGTTGTCTCTGCCTCCCACCCAAACTCATAAACCAGAAGATTCTCCAACAGAGAGCACGTTCAGAAGCTAACCACCTGCAAACCTTGCAAGGTTTTGACAAGGATGCCCGGGAGCTGAGCGCTGTGGACACAGCCTGGGGGGCCACCTGAGTCCCGACCGTGGAGTCAGTACCAGGGGTATGATGCAAAGGAGAGGGTTCTGGCTTTATGGTGAAGTTTTCACCACAAAACAATTACTGCTTTCCTAAAAATGTAATTTCATTGCATCCTGGATTTATAGAAGGTGAGAAAATCCCCAAGAAACTTTTGAGAAAAAAAGTGAACTGAGAGGTAAGTGGTCAAAGGTTTGGGCTTCTCTGAAACCAGGCCTTGAGCCAGAAGCAAAGGGCAGAGCTGGGGGCAAGGATCCAAGACGAATCCAGTGTCTGGCAGAAATCAGCTGAGCTAAACTAGCCCAAGTTAGGAAGCTAGGCTTTTCAGAGTTTACGATCAGTCAAGTTAAACTCACAACCGAAGACCACAGACCATCATGTGTGAGTGTCAACAAACAGTAAAGAGAGGACTCAGACCCCCCAGAAACCTCAGGAATTAGAAATTCAGGATATTAAGTAGGATGCACAAAATATTTAAATGTGAGACAGAGTGACAAGAATAAGGAGAGGATTTTCTAAATGATCAGGAAGATATGTAAAAGGCCTGAATAGAATTTCTAGAAGTAAAAAATACACTTGTTAAAAACTTGGATAAATTAAACACCAGATTAAACCTAGCTGAAGAGAGAATTCCCAAACCGGAAAGTAATTTGAGGAAATTATCCGAATGCTGATGCAGCCGTGAGGGTGTTGTGGAGGGCGAGCTGGCCACAATGGAGGGAGGACAGATGGGCCTCAGACACGTCCAGCTGGAGTCAGGGGGACAAAAAACATGAGAAGGAACGTGCTCTAGTACCATGACTGCCCAGAGCTCACAAGAGGCATGAACACAGAGGGACCAGAAGCTTCATTTACGATGAGCTGTTCAGGGAAAGAAACCGGCACCTGAACATCCTGAAGGGAAAAGACAGAGCACCCAATACAATCTGCCCTTAAACACAGCCAGAAAGAAAGACCATGGACAGGAATAGCAGACGGACAGCAGACTTCCCAGCGGTAAGGACAGAGGGGGTGAAACAGACAGTTGTCAACCTAGACTCACATACCCAGCAATGCTATATGTAGGAAAAAGAGCAAAACCCGCATTTTTAGGTGACAAAAGCTGGGCTTACACCACCAGCCCTACAGTAATGTGACTTTGGAAGAGAAAGAAGGGAAGTGTGTGTGAAGCGTTTGGACAGAAGCCCCGGGGAGCAGTGTGAAATGCACCCTCACCTGCCCATCCTTCCTGGGAGGCCACCAGGTTAAACAGTGAAAACGTAGATTCAGACACAAGTAACAAGCCTGATTCATGGGACGTCTGTGGGGCCCTGGGCTCACTGGAAGTGCATGGTCTCCTCGGGCACACGGACCGCTTCCCGAAGCCCAGTGGGATCCTGCCGTGCGCCCCCCTGTTCCCCGCCCTTCCATGCTGTGCCCATCCCCCAGCTGCTTCTGTCGCTTCCCGCTCATTGCCCGCCCTGTTTTCCACGTGGTCCTTGTGCTTTGGGCTCATCGAGCCTCTTGCATCTGTGGGTTAGAGTTTACATCAAATTTGGAAATATTTTAGCCATTATTTTTCTAACACTTTTTCTGAACCCCTGCCCCCGATATCTTCTCCTCTTTGGGGGGTCTCCAATTAAACATACATTAGGCTGCTTGAATCTGTCCCAAAGACACTGATGATCTGGATCATTCTCTGTTCCCTGTTTCGCTTTGGACGGTTTCTGTTGCTCTCCCTGTTCCATATCTAATCTGCCGTTGACCCATTCAGCATATTTTCCATCTCACACACTGTGGTTTACAACCCTGCAAATTCAGTCTGGGGTACTACTGTGACTCCCATGGCTCGACCTAACTTTCAGACCCCCTGGGATGCAGTTATGATGCTGTGCTGAAGCCCTCGAGTCAGACCTGGGTCAGTCCCAGATGACTGATTGCTTGTCACATGCGTCTTATTTTCCTGCTTCTTGGCACCCTGAGAGTTCTAAGTGGATGTCAGGAATCATTACATTTAGCTTTTGGGATGCTGGATATTTCTATATTCTTACCAATATTCTTGAAATATATTCAGAGATGCAGTTATTTTAGAAGTTTGATCTTTGTGCCTTGGCTGGGGCTAATGACCCACCCTGAGCCCACCTGCCTCCCCTGTGACCTCACCCAGTGCCCCCTGGATGCTGAGCCTTCTCCTCGGCTGCCACCGGCACGCTGTGTGACCAGGGGAGCATCCGGTGCTGCTCCTGGGGCAGGGGCATGGCCCCCGTCCAGGCTCACTGCTCGCCTCACCCGCACGCACTGCCCGGACTCTGCTGCATACTCGCAGGGCTTCTGCAGATCTCTGGGTTCTGTCTTCTTTTGGACTCTGTTTCGTGAGTTCTATCTCCCCTGGGCTCCCAGTCTCTCAACTTTGTTCACTCACCCAGGGTGACTGTCAGGCTCTGCCTGGGTCCCCTCCCTGCGCGGCGCTCGGACACTACCCGGGCGATTAGTGGGGATCCTGCCCCTCAGGGTCCTGTGCTTTGCTGCAAACCTTGCTCTGTGTGAGAGGGCACATCTAAGCCTGACACAAAAATCTGATCTGTGACAATCTGACAGCTTAGACATCACTGCACAAAGGCCCATTTTCATCTGCAAAGTCAGAAAACGCCATCATGGGAGCCGAGGCGACTGGACCTTCAGCGGTGGAAAAGCACCGTAATGACCCCACCCCGCAAGTGGCAGGAAGGCGATGACAGTTCTCAAGGGGGGGCTGTGTTCAGAGCCGAGGGCACAGTAACCACTGTCACGTGGACTGGGAGCCATGCGCCGGGATCCCCGTGTGCACAGAACACTCGTGTCGAGTGACTTGGGAAAGATCGGGACCGTACCAAGGGACAGGTCCTATTACCACATGGGAGCTGCCCCCCGACGCCAGCTTCCTGGGAGGCTGGGGCAGCGCTCGGTCCTGGAATCCCTGTAAGTGACCACCTGCTGCCACCGGTGTGTTCTGACGGGTTTGCACACACGCGTGCAAGGAGCTCCTCAAAGGGCTCTGACCTCAGTGGTGGCGAAGGGTCTGTTTTCCTCCCGTGTTCGTGCACCCCCACCTCCTCCCAGAGGGGCCGGACAGAAAGCTGCCTCGTTCACACAGCCACCTCGCGGGCACGCTTTGCAGCCATGCCTCGTCGTGACTTGGGTGTGCAGGATTGTCCTACAGCGGTCTCCCCGCCACGAGCCTGGAGCACTCAGCACTGCAAGCACGTCCTGAGCACCACGCAGGACTGGCAGAAAGGAGAAGGCGGCCTTGGGTGGACGCACAGAGGACAGCTCACGGCCGCCTGAGACCCCAGCGTCCGTCACCGCCCCTGTGGCCCAGTCGCTGGGGTTAGTGCTGTAGGTTGGTCCAGAGGCGGGAGGGACATGCCGACATGAGGATCCCCAGCCCACGGGGACGTGGCGTGCCTTCACCCCTGCTTGGTGGGCTGGTGCCTCCGGAGTTTCCTTATCAGCAAAATCAGTAACAGACCTCAGGTCCTGAAAATCATATTTGAAAAAAATCATCTTATTTGAAAAAAATTAGGGAATAAGTTAAGACTTTATGCCCAGTTTTATGATCTCAAGGATAAATTCATAAGCCAAAAAAGCAAGTTTCTGAGGTAAGCCTCCCACATGGCTGTGGCACAGCCCTGCCCCTACGTCACTGTGCATCCTTGGGTGAACCACTCAACCTCTCCGAGTCCCGAGAGTTGCCTGACAGCAGGACGGCCATCAGGGTGTGCGCGCAGGACCCCAGAGGACCCCGATCGGGATGCCGGTCTCCAGCCAAAGCCAGAGGGCTTGTCCACCCACGGAAGGCACCACTCACGCCCAAGCAGGGCCCACTGGGCAGCAAGGACAGGGCAGCCCGAGAGGCCGTCCCCCCTCCTCCACATGGGCCACGCCGGGTCGTTTCAGCTCCATTTGGATCTCATTTCGATGAAGGGCAATCTCCCCATTGTTGAGGAGCATGAGCAAGAAGCCCAGGTAAGG